AAGAAAGGTTTGTAGGGTCAGCTAAGTTACGCTTTAGGTCGAAAATAGCGAATCCTGAAGAATCACGGCGCAGTTAATAAAAAAACATCATATTTTGTTAAGATGTGTTTGATAAGATTTGGCAACCCGATTTGCCTAATGCACCAGATGGTGTGGGTTCGATCCTCGCGACTGGAAAAATATTGTGCGATGAACATAGTGTTTTTCCGATTATTTGTTGTTTATATATTCATAATATGTATTTATTTAAAAAATGAAAGTATGTTTAAGTACCTTTATCAGTTATCTAGTGCCCATAGTATAAGCGTTGCTTAGTTTGGGACAAGAAATCGTTGTGTGAAAATGTGTCCTGAAATATTTACTAGAATATAAAAAATCCGCGGTTTTCGGAAAACAGGGCCACCCTATCGCCATGCAACCCTAAACGCCGCCGCTTTCGAGGGGTACTTAAGTAAATCTCACTGCGAAGAAGCGACGCCACCGTCTAACAGCGAATTCCCGGGACTGCGGGATTGAGATCGAGTCGCCGGACTTATGCCGATTAAGCTGTCACCGAGGGGGCCGGGATTGGGATAAGCAATTGAAAATAATTGCAGTTATTTTAAAAAACTGCCTGTTTGTGTCTGTTTTTTACAATGATGATGCAAAAAAAAAATTGGTTGGTTGTTAAAATATATTAAAACACAGTGCCGAACACTTCACTATTACTACACCACTGTCACTACATATTACAAAACCAAGTCCTCCACCGCGTCTGTCTGTCTGTCTATTCGCGATAAACTCAAAAACTACTGCACCGATTTTCATGCCGTTTTCAACAATGGATAGAGTGGTTCTCGAGGAAGGTTTAAGTATTTAATTTATCAAGTTTTTGTGTACATTAGCTAAAATGTACTGATATTTTGTTGAAGGTGTCAGAGAAAATAAGGCATCTGACATCGAAAGCCTTTTGAGATATAACAAAATGATGTATTGTGGAATTGTGTTATATTTTTAGGTCTACAGGAAAGTCTGCGATGGCACATGTCTATCTCTTAAGGATATTATACTATATCCATATTAATCCTTAAAAAAATGGGCAATTATAAAGCGGTAATTGGAAAACAATTAACACAAATACAGTATTCATCCTTATTATTTTAGATAAGTTAGATACTTTTAGAGCATTTATTTTACTGTTTTTCACCATACAATTTAAACGAATATCTTAGGAGTAATCGTAAAAAATTACGGACGCGAGAATAAAATTGAAGCACCTCGCTTTGCTTGATGCAGTCGACCCTCCCCCCGCACCGTCTTGCCTTCTGTTAATCCCTGGAGGCCCTGGACTGGAATAGGTTCCCATGGGTTGCGGGAACGGGATAAAATTTCATGATTACCTTTGGTCGCGATAACCGAAATCCACGCAGCGAAGCCGCGGGCATCAGCTAGTATACAATAAGTGGTATGTTACAACAGACTCGTCTGTTGCAAGGGTTATTTATGTCCTTTTGTTTAAAGCTTATCATTCACAAGACACAACTTACTAATCGGTAGCCTACTTCAGCAATTGTTCCAAAAAGATAAATATGTTAAATCTGATGTAAATATAAGTAATGTAAAATAAAAAAAAGTCTGAGTCATCGAACTATGTATATTGAGTAAATTATACTGTGGCATTAAAAATAAATTAATCAATAAGTAGTAATTATAGTAAGCGCCATCTACTGAACTTATATTAAATAAATACAAAACAGAATAAATTTTCAAACGGAACGGTACCAAACGTAGTCTCAATATATGCTACTAGATGGCGCTTTCGAGAAAATTAAAAAATTTAAGTAACGTTAAGTTGAACAAAATGTAAATATTATACGATAAAACATACTTTAAAATTATATACAAATTCAAATCTAAATATAGAACTGTGTTAGTATTATTTTTGTGTGTTCACTTACAATGTCTGGAGTTCGTTACCGTTGTATACATTAAAAACGCATTATAACCTGTTCATCCTTTGTTAGAACAATGCGTCAACCAACAATGTAAACTAATTGAAGCGAATGTTATCGTCGAAGTCCGCATCTGTGGGATCGTTAGCCACAATGACGCAAGTGTCTTCTTATTTTTATTATAAGTTAGTAGATTTTAACACGTTTTTATTTTAAATACTCTGACATAAGGTAACTGCTGAAGAACTTAGAAATAAACATGTTTTCAACATGGCAGCATTCTATTGAAGCTGGCATAAAAAGTACTTTAATCGATAGCTGTATTAATTTCTTTTTTTAATTTAAAATCTTAAAATTTTCGCTGGTTCTTTATGTTCAAATAAAAACTGAGGTTAATTCGTATTGCAAGCCAAGTTCTATACTAAGAAAAAAATACATATAGAGCGCGCATCATTTGAAACGATAGGTTGGAAATAGAAGAATAAATATAGAATCGACCAGATGCTTAGTTTTAAGTCAATAAAGGAAACGAGTCCTTTATTTTAAGCTTAAGGTTCACAACAACAACAATTTATAAACTACAACAGTCAATACTTTATGAAGATTACGGATGAGTTGTCGTGATACATTACAGATATATTTTATGAATTATTGGTTAAAAAGGCCTCGTAATAACACAGTCATTTTATAAAATACTAGAGACTCGCCCCAGCTTCGCACGGGTGCAATGCTGAGTGTTTTTTTTTTCGACATCGCATTAGAAACCTATAAAATTGTAAGTGTTTCTCTACTGTACTATGCATGAATTATACATATAAACCTTCCTCTTGAATCACTATGTATTTAAGAAAACCGCATCAAAATCAGTTGCGTAGTTTCAAAGATCTAAGCATATATAGGGACAGACAGACAGCGGGACGACTTTTTTATACTATGAGTGACATTGTATCAGCCAGAAGCAACCTCTGGAAATTAAAAGACGAATATTGTATGTTATAAATAATTTCAGTTTGTACTAAAAGGCATATCGTAATTTAATTACGAAATATTGGATTAGACTTTATTTCGATAGTTATCTTAATAATATGATAAGTATAAGTGGCGCTCAAAAACGGTGTCATTTCGTCATCTAATTATTTTTTTAGTCGAAACACTGTCAAATCACAAAAAATATGACGGCATAACGTGCTAATAATTGTAATATTCTAACTCCCCTAAATAAACTCAGAATAACTACATTCAATCAAATAATGGAATAAAAGTTGTTTTGGAACTTGCAGGATCCGGCGTGACAAGTTGAACATTCAGCATGACGCCGTCTAATTAATTTGATCATATTTTTGATAGTTATTAACTAACCTTTATATAAATTTGTTAAGAGCTATGAATACATCATTAAAATGGATAATATAAATTTATAATAATTACAAGAATACACTTCAGACTGGAAATAATCAAAAACCTTTCAAACTTGTACATAATAATCAAAGTCAAAAAAATAATAATGCGCTTACATCGAAAAGATTACAAATATTTATTAGAAGTGCTAAAAAGTGTATAAAGCGGGCTCAATAAGTTTGCCCCCATTTTTTTTTTAATTTTTGAATTTTTATTTTTACTACCATTTGTTTGCTGTTTGTTCTTGATTGTTCGTTATAAATAATTGTTTGGCTTGGATCCCACAATTCCAATGTATAATTTTTTTGTATTTAAATCTTACTATCATATTCACTGATGTTTGTTCGTTTCTAATAATACACGTTTTTTGTTGTCCATATGTTTGTTTTAATTAACAATTTTTCTTTAGTTTAATAATTATTCGGATATACTTGCGTTGCGCCTTGCGCATATTTTGTCAAAACTAGATCATTTCCCTATATACAAAAGTACTCTGTGAACTACATTTGGCACAGATCATAGATCCATTGATTCAAAAAATTTGGAAACGTGATCTCAAAGAAATAAAAAATATACATACTACATAGTTGCTCCACACGATATAAATTGAATTGAATCACCGACGGACAATCAAAAACAAACGACGAACGGTGAAAACAAAAATCAAAAAAATTTGAAACAACATTTTTGGGGGCTAAATTTCAAGCGCCAAGCCGTACAAAAAAGGAGCTAAAAGAGCATAGTGATGTTACTGTGGTTTATCGATAAAGTAAACAGACAGTGACAATTTAAATTATATTTTAAACAATTTTTGTTAATTTTGTCGTAAAACACTTTTGGTTTAATTTTAACGTGTACAAATTTAATATTGCTCTTTCGTAAGCTTATTACATTTTGTATTACACTTGATATCATTAAAGGTTATTCTGCCTCGGAACGTTAACGTCGACGTAAATTAGGAGGATATTAAAATAAATCTACATAATTATATTCGGAATTAGAAAAATAGAATAAATGAACTATTGTTGAAAACTGATTTTTACAAATTATTTTAACTTCTAGCTTCTACTTTTGTTTATAAATGCGTAATTTATTAATTGTTAAGCATTGAGAAATAATCTATATATACCTATGGTTTCGACAAGCAAGCAGTGAAAGCAATGGTTAATGACTAAATTTTTATTAAATAAATAAATTGCTCTAAATAGACGCTTGCGCGTTCTTATGAATACATTGATTCGTAAGTAATTTACCGTTGGTTCGGGAAGCAGTTTCTGTTGAGAAGAGACCGGCAAGAAACTCAACAGTAGACATTTTAAATTATTTACGAAAATCTGTTATATTTCATACATATTTGACATTCAATACTCAAAGGCACAATGACATACAACAGGCCGTTAGACCACCGGAGATGTGTAAAGCGTCAAATCATAAGATTAACCAGGGCTTCTTTCATCTAATTATACATTGTGTCCAAATGTAAGCGGCCATTACGCTTGGAAATGAAATGACAGAGCGCCGTGAAATCGTGACAGGCGAAGTGTTTTATTTTGGGAATGATTTCTTGGATTTTTCATTTCCTTGAATGAAGTGTTATCCGCGCTTGAAAGCGTAAGACTCCGCAAATCAAGTTGGGAAAGTTTTGCAATAAGGTCGTTGTAGACTATCCCGATGGCGCCCACACAAGTGGCTAGAGCACTGAGGACATATTTCGTGTGGGAGAAGGAATGCGACCGGCCAAACTATACGCATGTGAGGCTTCGTTAATTGATCCCGCGTAAATTAAAAGGAATTAACCAGCCACAGCGTTAGCACAGCTGGTCCCAATTGTGCGGCGTGGTTGACCAACGACTCTGTAAGTTCAACCTCCATCCGATACGAAGGATCTTTTTTTAATTGGTACATAGAACAGCAAACAGTACAATACTCTTAATAATGGCAACTTATACACACTGTCCGCCAAAAATATAATATGTACACTGCATGCTTCGATATCATAAAACAATATTAAATTATACATTTAAAAATAAAAGACAAAGCTATTGAAAAGTAACGAATTAAAAAGCGAAATAATAAGAAAAATAAAAACATTATGTGGCTCGAGTGCTTCGTTTGAATGCACTCAGCTTCTGATGAAATATATCTACTGATTCAACAATGGTTGTAAGTTTGTTGTACAAGGAACGCATCTGAATAAGAAACGCGAATACGTTGTCCTTATCGCGAATCCGCTTTAATTAACGCCACGGCACAACAGCTCTCGCCAAATTGGGCGAATTTAAAGGGGGACATAAATTTTTCTTTACGCAACCTTTAATCCCGCTTGTAAATTCGGGCGTTAAACATTTTACGATACCTTGCACGGATAACAGGACCGTACGGAAATAGTCACGAGCCACCGAGGTGAACGCTCCACGGATTTTATTTATTGTGCCCTCGTTAAAATAATAACAGAATTTAAGACGTGACTCAGATGTAGAAGGAAGCAATAAACGCTCCGAACACGTGGGAGATTCACTTCCTTTTTTTTTGCGTGCATCCAACAACATTCCGACGTCACATGAAAAAGGGGCATATTTTAAGGATGTTTCGTTTGGAGGATCCGAACGGAATCCGTTGCGATGAGTCATTTTTGGACGGGTCTTAGAGGCCTGTGTGATAACCTCTTGGCGTTTTATTAAAATGAAATATAACGAGCTATTTATGATATTACCGCGAAGGACTCGCGCCCGGAGCGCACTCAAGTTTTAATGAATACATTGTACCAGTCGCCTGCCTATCGTGAGGTAATCGGATTGCCTTGTCCGGTTGCTGGTGCCACCGCCCTTTACAAAGGTGAGCCCCGGCCTGACCCCGTTTTCTAAATATGGAAAAGTTTTGTAAGGTCCTCCGGTTTGCCTCGTCGCGGACGGTTTTTATTTCATTTCATGTATTTCTTTAGTCGGTTTCTTTGGCCTCGCTTTCGGCTTAGTACGACCGTGACAGACTTTTCTCTATAATGTGTAAAGAAAAAAAATACTTTTAAATTCTTTAAATACCTACCGTTTCTGAAGAAAACACTAGAGGAAGGATTTTTCTATCTAACTTTAGGGAATATTTACTAAGCTTAAGCTGACCAAAACTCTTTCTTGAAAGCAATTGAATAGGTACATACATACGACTTCAAGTAAGTAATTAACACCACCTTCAATGAAATGCATATTACTGTGTGGAACAATAGAATAACAATAGAAGAAAGCCAGATAATTTAGTATGTAGAAAAAATCCTAAAGTCTAACTCCGCATTTGCATTTTTTACCTGCCTACTGGTGATATTGCACAAATTAATGTACATCATTTTCATAAATACTGTAGAGGGTGATATTGTTTTTTTTTTCTTGGAATGGTCTTAATTTACGCACCCGTCGTAGAATTTGAAGGCCCTAAGTGCTTGTAAAAATTGTTTGAAGTTGAAAGAAACCACAATCCTCTTAAAAACATTGTAGATGTCTAGTTCATCATATTCAAAGATATTTTCTATTATCGACATGTATCTAAAAGGTCGTTGTATACTCTTGGGACTCTTAGACGGGGTTTTACAATTGAAAATGACTTTCAACTGAAACGAGATGACATGGAAGCGAGCTGCTTTGTGCGGGATGCGTTATTCCGCTCCGTCGCATTAAAAGGACTTTCTCCGCTCGCCCACGCGTCCCGGCCTCCCAGGCGTTCATAGACGAACAGCGGCTCGCTTCACTGGAAGCGGTTTAATTATAGAATTTCCGCCGTTGGCCCTACTTGGACGAAATGGATTTGGTGCATTTGACGACTGCGTGGACATGTGCCGAGTGCTGATTGCGTGTCAGTTCACTTCCTCGCACACTACACGCGGACCACTCCGCCGTCGTTGTATCGATGTGCAGTACGTAATGATATGCGTTATTATTGTTCGCTTATCGTGCAATATAGATCTTGTGAATGTGATAAATTCGTTGAACCTAATAAATTTAGGATTTAAATTGTTTAGTCAATGAAGTGGGCACTATTAAAGAAAAGACGAAGATATGACGAGTTATGTGTTATAAATAATTTTACGGTTTTAAAAACATAATGACAGTACAAATATCGAGTAAATATGATTTATTGAGTGTTGTTTGGTGTATTTATTGATGTAAAGTAACAGTGAGCGAAGTAAATTATAATTACGTAGGATCGCTTTTTATGGTTACTGAAATGAAGATGTAAGAATTTCTTATCAAAGACATTATAGGATGACGTAAGCTTACTTGCAACTAACGTGAGATGATAAGAACGGTCAAGCACATTGATAAGTTAACGAGCATACGCGGTACATGCATGACTAATTCCAACTAAAAACGACAGTATTCTCTACGAATTACCCTATGACATATGCTGTTCGGACACCATCGGCCGCATCGAGCATAAACAAAAAGCGTAAACATCAACTCGTATGACTCACAATGGCGAAGATTTCATTATCATATCATAACCGCACGCATACGTTAGTAGCGGCCGGGCGCTGAGGGCTAATTGTCGTCTAACCGAGCTCCGTTCCGGCCGTACGGATAAATTACGCGCTCCCACCAAGGCTACTCCGCTAAGTGAGCGCGGGTGACACAATCGAAGCGGCGCCGTATGTACATATTATTGCGCGCATTTTCCCCGGCCGCGGAACAAAGGGGCCCAGTCCGCGGGCCCGTGCAACACTGGAGGCGCCTGCCTGTTGCTCGCACGTGACGCGGTCCGCGCATACGTGAGCCGTGAGCGCGGCGCGATGCGGGCGAGCGGGGCGCGCGCGTGAACGGGAACGCAACGCGAAAAATGATCAGGCGGAGCGGCGATAATGCGTTCGCGATCGCGAGCGCCGGCCAGTGTCAGGCCGCGCGGGGCCCCGTCCCGCTCTCGCCCGCCACTAGGATCCCCCGGGCCACCGCCAAGATGACGCCGCCCGACGCGCAGCCACACGCCAAGGAGGCGAACATCGCGATCTCCACTTACGTCGAGAAGTGGAAGAACCGATACGAGGACGCCGAGCGGAAGCACAAGACGTACCTCCTCAAGTCCGAAAAAGGTCGGTACTATTCGCTCCGAGCGGGGCCTTTTGTTTTTCTTTTCCTCCCCCCTCGCTTGTTTTTTTTGACTGACGTCCCCAGTGCGCATGCCCCACGGCCGTCGTGGTCTATGCAAATGAAAGTGCGAAAGAAAATCCCCGTCGCGTATTTGTCGGATTATGACGGACTATAACCTGTTGCTCACACATTATGTATTCATAAACTTTTGTAATGTAAACCCGTTTATGGTGCAGTTTCGAACAGTATGCGCCGTTTGAATTCGTTTACGTTTTCACCTTTATGTTTAAGCAAAGACCATTGTGAAAAATATCATTTTATGAAGGTACACCTTATCTACTTCACGCTGCGCAGTATAATCGTTATTATTTTACTACATTAGGACACAAACCTTCTCATAAAATGTATAACTTGTTGTCACTTATAACTAATTACGTATAAGCTTGTTCTTTCTAGAACAATGAACAATCTATGGAAATCATTTCGAAAATATCGATTTTTTATTTTGCGCAACCCTACTTCCTTATTGATTATATTTTAAATGTCAAAGGAACAGCTATGAGTTAATCATTTATAGGTTAAAATGTTCAAAATTTACTTATTAAATAATAATAGCGCATTTGTAGTATAATTTCTTACCTAATAGTCAGTTAAATATTCGGAGAAAAATATTTTTAAATCTGAATATTACAGATTATTATCTTTAAACAGTAATGGCGTACGGTATTTTGTGATTTCGACAGTGTTATTTGAACATTTAAGATTAGTAAACTTTGAATAGTAATTAAGCCGCAAGGCATACGCTATTTTTCAATAGTTTTTCATTTTGTATAGGTAATACAATAAAAGTAGTACTTAGTAAAAATTAAAAACTAGTCTGAAATAATATCTAAGTCATAATTTTTAAGTAAGTAATTGGTTTCAGAGTCTAGAATAATGTCCATCTTATTTTTACAAATAAAACGACAGGAAATGTAACGCATATTTGCTATAAATCTCTCAATGAATCACATTAAACTGATTACTGAAGCAATTGTGTGCGAGACAAAGCCTTTGTTCTTTCCTTAATTTATATATATCATTATATAGTTTCATCATTGAAACTGATCAAATTATGTACTTACTTATTATGTATTAAAATACAAATATTTGAAATTGCCATAGTCTATTTAAAATCCCATGCAAATATAATACTTAATATTGGTAAATATACTTAATCAGTGTACATTTAACCTTATTAAAACTGTTTGTAAACATTATAAATAAACAAAATGAAAAAGAACAGTTTTAATAATATCAAATTAACACTCAATTGTACATTGTTGTAAACTATTTTTAAAGTTAATGTTAATAAACTATTAAATCTTAGTACTAATCAAAAGGTTTCCGTCTAATAAGTTGTATAGCTGCACAGTTGATTAGGGCTCAACAAATCATTTTGGTATGTACTGATAGTTATTTATATAAACTGCCTAAGAGCCTCTTTAATTTCAAGTTTAAATTGACAGAATTCAGCTGACTTATAACTGTATAATTATACACTTATTACATCTTAATGAGATTTGTATACATTTTATACAAAAGTTAGAATAATTTTTGTACCGTGAATAAGTTTACACAACATTACATATACAATTTTATCTTTCTTCGGTTACATGTTAGAACTGTTTATAAGTAATTTACTCAAACTGAAATATAATGCAGTGCATTAAAATGTCAGTATATATAAAGTATGTCATCTTAATTCAATAGTGCATAAGTAAATATTTGCTGCATGCAAGTACATAGTGCAAGTGGATTTTATCTAAATACTTCAAATATTATGCACAATAATTATGCAACATATTTTGTAAATAATAATGTGTTAGAAGGATTTTTATATGTAAGATAGACCTAATAATCAACTTATTCCTCGGTTTGTATTATAATTAAGTCCGGGTAAAGAAAGATTATAAGAGTCTCAAGAACAGATGTCTGGCTTCAGACTTATCACTTCATTTATTTGTTTATATAAGTGTTGAATTTCTGATATAGATTTAAGGCATATGGTAATTATGAAAAAAACTGGTGGAAATTTTTTTAAGGCTAGTTGACACTTTTTTACTATCTATTGATTGTATTTTAAATACTATAATTAGTAAACCATTAATCAATATTTTATGACAGTACAATTATGTGTGATGTTACAAACAGTGTAGTAAAAATTTATTCAAAGTTATGTTCATACATACCTACTTTAGACTTATTTAGTACGAGACTTCCAACAATAGTAAACTTTTGCCTTATATTCACATAAGGCGCTTTAATGTAGTGGAAAATACCAACGATCACCATTAAATGAAAAAAAATACTTCAGATTACAGATAGATACATTGGCTACTTAATTTTACATTATGCTACTTTAGTTGACTTTTAGCAAAGGGAAGAGAGTTACAAGTAATTGTGCTTGTCTGGCTTCTTATTGTTCTTAATTACGATCCTTGCTGCTCCTTAAACCGCAATGTGTTTACACCACGGGTTAACACATTAATATATTGACCTAAATCTTGCGCACTTATTCTCCTTATGCATTACTAAGAATTGTTTTTACGAAACGACGTCGATATTGTCATCGGATTTATAACTAATTGTGTCGTAATGCATTGTGTTGTTAAAGACGGTGTTTGATTATGATAACGCGCGGGAAAAAAATATGAAATGGCAATGGCAAGTGCCGTGCGAGTATGGCAAATGGCCATGGCCTGCATTCTTTTAAATTCCTTATTGATTGCCAGTTTTTCTCAACTTCGTTAATATTTTTTCTCCATTTAGTAAGAAGCGGCTTGGATTTTTTTCCCCGGGGTTAGTGTTTTCGAACAAAAGTAAATATTCCGCGAATTTCTTGTTGGAATGTGTAAGTCATTTTAAAGTAGAATAACTGTACATGCAACACCATTAGCATTGATTGAAAATCATTAACATTAACACTAACAGGTTTTTAGGACGGTCTGTTTTACGTATCTGTTCATTGCTGGTTGCAGCAGAATGTTTGATTGATTAATGTATGACCTCATGAACTCATGACGTTTTTCTTACCACACGCGATGTGTTCCGATATTATTTTTTTATATACTGACTAGCTTTTCGCCCGCGGCTTCACTCGATGTGAAGCCCTTAAATAAATATCTATCCCTTTTTACGGTGGTAGGGCCACGCAGCAGCCTCGGCTATTGCACGAAGGGGCTGGCTCGTCTGGGTAAGTACCACGACCTCACAGAAGACCGGTGTAAAGTGGAAGTATAATACTTCCGCGTTTCGTCTGGTGAGTGAGGTGGCCGGCGCCCCATTTTCAAAAGGTCAACGCATCTGGAACCCTCGGGTGAAGCAGATGTCCATGGGCGGCGGTATTCACTTAACATCAGGTGTACCGTCTGTTCGCTTGGCATTTTTTCACATAAAAAAGAAACCTTTATAACCCTTTTTCCAATTAAAAATGGCCTATGTCCTTTCTCAGGCTCTAGATATCTGTGTCTCAAATTTCATTTAAATCGGTTCAGTAATTTTAGAGCAAAAGCGAGATAGACAGACAGACAGAGTTACTTTCGCATTTATAATATTAGTATGGATTGAATTAAGTAATCTGTGCAATAAATAAGGTTTTTTTTTCACGTGAGAAGGTGTCAATCGAGCTGGCGGTTCAACTCATTTTGACCGCCACCCATGGACATTATGGCAACACCCGTAACGTTTGATGCGTTACCACCTTTTAATAACCAGCTCCGGCTACCTCATCCAACTGACGAAACGCAGAAGTATAAAACTTCTACTTCACGCATGTATATCGATTAGAAAGAAAAGAAAAATAACTCTTAAAAATGATAACCCCCGCCCATTGATCTTCATTACCTGAATGGTAAAGGAGTATACATCGATCGATGATATAAAATTGTTTTGTTTTTTTTTGCACCAATTTTCAAGAACATAGAAATTTCAAGATTACCCGAGCTATTGCGTTAGTGTTTCGACCATAGAAACGCAATGGTCTAAGTAAAGAAACTGAGTGACGTTGACTTCAGTCCGTGCTTTGCCTTAATCCAGTACAATTTAAAGACCTTAACGTGCGAAGCATTTAATAATACAATAATAGATGACAAAAGCTTATTTACTATTAATTAGTTAATTCACATTAATGAGAATTGATTATTGTAATATTTGATACAAATAAAGCTGATTATATTTTCCCAAATTATCCAAACCGTATAATATTGTATTTTTGTTCTCAATTTGTGAAAATAATCACATAGGTACTTATTTTCTTTTTCTGTATCCGTAACAAGACAAGGAAGTCTTGGGCTATAGCGGAGTCGAAAACCAGTGATTCATGCGTTGCACAAATATTGACCCATGAGTCCACAATACGTGTTTCGACTAATATGCCGTTCACGAATTCCTTCAATAGTCTTGAGATTACAAAGAGAAAAAAAGTATTGCTTTAAATAAAGAACGGAATGGTTGAAAATAACTTGTTTTTTTTTTATTTACTTCTATTGAGAAGTGTTTTTCATATTAAACCCATATCGTTGTGCTAAAGTTAAAATCATTTCTTTCTTAATCCAAAGACAGTAGATTCTACAAATGGGGATCGTTTGTTTCCCGCCTTGTTCGGTGTAAAGAGATAACATCTTACAGCGCCGGCGTGTAATACACTTCACAAACCGACATCAGTCTCCATTCCTTTGTAAGAACATGCAACATACATTTTTATTAAAGCAACGGAAAAGCCGTATCATTTGGTAGTGGTTGTAAGCTTTTTTTAAAAAAATAATAATACTGACAGAGCGCTTTCCTCGTTTTACTGGCTTTGCGATATTCGAAATAATGATGACCATGTCGCTTTATTATGAATGATATCCTAAAAAAAAATTTAAAAACTGAATACTCATTAACGCATTTCACCGTGAAGACCACAAACACTTCGTGAAATAAAGTGATTCTTTTCGAACAAACGGTTTTTTTTAATTGAAAGCTCGATTATTCATAAAAATTATTTGGAGGTCTGTTTTAAAATTACTATCGGGTGAAAGGTCACCTATTATGGAAATATATTACGGTGGTAGGGCCACGCAGCAGCCTCGGCTGTTGCACGAATGGGCAGGCGCGTCCAGATAAGTACCACGACCTCACAGAAGACCGGCGTAAAGTGGAAGTATAACAAATACTTTCGCGTTTCGTCTGGTAAGTGAGGTAGCCGGAGCCCAATTTTCAAAAGGTTTTCAACGCATCTATAACCCTCGGGTGTAGCAGATGTCCATTGGCGGCGGTATTCACTTAACATCAGGTGAACCGTCTGCTCGTTTGGCAACTTTTCACATAAAAAAAAGCAAAACATACCATAACAGGAATCTTTTACATAAGAATGTAAAATATTTTGATAAAATTTTCCTGTTCCATATGTCTTGTGTAGGTTTCTGAAAGGAATGTACTAACTGTGCTTCAATTGCAATAATGCCTCCTTGATTGTTTTCAATTAACATGTCTTCCTCCTCCCACTAATCGTATCTGGCTACACGTTGTCTACGCTTGTGGTTTAATATTCAAGGCACTGTTGTGTTTTAAAATATTTTTTAATAATTTATCTTTACAAAGATTACCTTATTGCTTAAATCATTAACCTAGACACAAAAGCCGTCCCTGAACAATCGTACGACATTTGTATTTTTTCTAATTGTTCTTTGAATTATATTATAATTAACTGATTTGTTAATTAAAATATTAAATTGTTTTTAGGCAGGTTGGTCAAATTTTTTGATAATTTTATTTTTTTATTATAATAAGCATTACTTCAAATTCTAAAAAACAATGTAGACAAAACACGATTAAAGATTTTCGTCAATGTGGCAATCGGCCATTTAGCTTAGTGGCTAATGCGTCAGGTCGCGAATGCCGAAGACGTGGGTTCGATTCGCACAGCGGCGACAATCCTTTCGTACTTTTTCTACAAATTTTTATTTTTATTATCTTGGTACAAATACATTTTGTAATTGTATGCCTAAAAACTTTTTAATTACATACGTATTTTTCTATAATAAATGAGATGGTGTGTTTACCGCAAAGTTTCTTGGTTATAAGGGGCTAATTATAAAATGGTGGTTTATTCTGAGTGTTCGTAAGCGTTTCATGCGGCGTCTGGTTGTCGCCATATAAAATTTTGAGTACTGTGTACTTGGACATTCTATAAATAAGGCATTTCATTTGTCTTAAGAAACGCCAAAATCGATCCACGCAATTGGTTTCTACAGCGCTATAAAGGAACACTTGCATAGATATATGTACCTGATTAACACATTACCCTATTTTGCGGCGCGCTGTTAGGTAGTAGGAATAATAAGTCAATCAAGTGACACGGTCACTTATAACATACTTTAACGCCCGGTTTTTGAAGCATTGATCATCGTAGAAATTAACTAATCAGTTGTCAAATGTTTTTTAATGACCAGAATGATCAATTCATAGAGTTTAGCCATCTTTTTGTCAACTCAATAGACACATGAAAAGCCTAAAGGAATAGCTGATTAGTTAATTTCTACGATGATCAGTTTCAGAAACCGGGCGTGATACTCGTTACTCGATCGTCAAAACCTATGTCTTATATTTATCCCGGTTAACCTGGAAGCCATGTGACTTGCACAAATAAATGTTTCACAGTGCAACCAAGGGAAAAACCATTCTTTGATCGTAATCGTATTTAGGCTATTTAATTTTCTTTTATGTGATAGCTCGCTTTTATTTCAAATACTTCCCGAGTTATTTTCGAAATAATAACAAAGAAAATGTTTCGTAGATATGTGAAGTCAGCCAGTGGGGTCGCGTGGATGTCTGTACACCCTTTGTATGGAGGAGGCCTTTGCCCACCAGTGGGATAAATATAGGCTGTTACTTTAATTTTTTATGTGAAGAGTTGACATGCGAGCAGATGGTTTTCCTGAAGTTCGCGATAGCTCAGTGTCCGGGTTCCTTAGACGACTAAAAATATAATAGTTATAATTCCCAACTTTTGTTAGGCCGGGGTAGTTCTGAAGACAAGCCGGCCCATTTGTGCAACAGCAAAGCTAGCTGCGTGGCCCTATCACAGTAAAATATTTTCTACGGAACACAGACACACAAACTTGACACATCTTACCACGACCTCACAGAAGACCAGCGTAAAGTGGAAGTATGGCAAATACTTTCGCGTTTCGTCTGGTGAGTGAGGTAGCCGGAGCCCAATTTTCAAAAGGTTGTCAACGCTGAATTATCACGTGATCAGCGGTGAAGGAAAATATCGTGAGGAAACCTGCATACTTTAGAAATAATAAAAATAGATTTCGATGTGAAGTCCGTCAATCTGCAGTGGTCTATGTAACAGCATTTTGTGTAGCTTAAAAAAAGTTGTATTATTTGAAAATTATCACTTCTTAAGCCTTATATAGCTCATTCCTCCTTCTTGTATCTCGTATTAACTGATGTTTTTGCTTTCAGTCCCGAGACTATTAAAGCTTCATCTGACGCAGAACCGGTGGGCTAGCCAGAACCCACGGGTTTGGGCCCTCCGCTGTGGGTAGGGCCGCGCATGTGCTTATGCGTGCGTTTAACTGTGGTGTGTCATCTAAGGGCCATCGAGGTCGCGGTTCGGACCGAAACCCCGATGGCCGGCGACCGTGCAATTAGCTAATCGGTGACTGGGAGCGGTGAAAACCGCCCCGGAACGCGGGTGTACCTTGTGTACGCATTGTGTTGGTCTCGCCGTGCTCGGAGGAGAGGGCGAACTAGTGTGTTTGTTGTTGCACTAACTGTGGGTGTAGTGTTATCCGGCGGGACCCCCGGTGGTGAGTCCGGCGTATCTAAGTCCCCTTACTCGACCGGGTCGATAAGGACGTTTCGCGGGCGACGCTTGTTGACGTTCGCGTTTGTGTCGGGTTGGTGGTTAGTGTCGCGTGGAGACCTATGCCCTAATATCCTTTAAATAATGGAGATTTTTCCCCAGCCGTGGGACAAATACAGGCTGTTACTTTTTTTTTACTTCATCACAACACGCCGAGCGTAATCCCAATCGCACCCGACCTACATTATAATGTTTTGGCTTTAACGAAACCTTCCACTTCCGCAGCGAAACGCGAGCACGATGACCTGCAAAGGAGGTACAACATCCTGGCGGAGGAGAAGCGGCACCTGGAGGCGGAGCTGGCCGAGAGGGAGAGGGAGCTGGCCAAGCTGCGCAGCGTCTCCGAGAAGCTGTTCCAGGAGTACCAGCAGCTCAAGCACCAGCACGAGATCGACGCAGGGGTGATGCAGAAGTGAGTATGGCCACATGTTATATAATACTGTTATTTAATACTGGCTATATGTTATTATGCCCCTAGTTTGACCTTATTATGGGCGACTAAGCTCGTGGGTTCCCGAGGGAGCCTCGACTCGGATCGTCACGTTATTATCACTGGTTTCGGAGGCCGCCAAGCTCTTGGTCGCTTTGGTGGACGCTCCATGGAGTAACTAGACTGAGGAGTTCATGGCGGCCTAAGCGAGGACCTCGGCTTGGGCTGTTATTCAATATCCGTATAAAAAAAGTTTACAATGGAAGTTTTTAGGAGGAGAAATTCAATGCAAATCTTCCTTTCAATGCAAGTGGGTTTTTGATTTGCTTGAAATTGAAATTTTGAATAGGTGTATTTTTTTGAACAGTTGGTAGCATTGAGTATGGCTTGTGACAATGTTAAGCATCCTTTTTATCAAACCATTAAGTCTTACCTTCCTGTGACAGATGTGGAAACTCATTTAAAGTGAGTGATCGCTAGCGAGTACTAGTTTAAATCATTTTAATACTGGTTAACATGTCTTGTTATGTTTTTTTTTATTGTTTTTTTACTTTTATACATTCATTAAAGTTCAATTCACTTTAATGAATGTATAAAAGTAAAAAAAACAAGGTTCGTACCATATCCGAGATCTTAGAATTTTAAATTTTCTTACATTCTAAAGTATTGTAGTACCGTAATGAAGGTGGGGGAGGACACCGTTTCAATTTTTTTATTGATCCAGTGTTTATTGATACAAAAAAAAATTTTAACATGTACTTTCTATATCGGTTAAGTGGCTATTAATAATGACAAAATTGAGTATAAACCCTTTCTTTTTTTGCTATAACAGTTTCACACCCAATATTTACTAGGATTCGGCATGACAACAGTGTTATTTTACGATAATGTATTGAGGGGTATTTGTAGACTAGGGTTTTTACGGCAGCATGCTCGACGTCAACGCTTCTTGAGAGCAAATCCTCAGAGTACGATTACTTATCTGTGGGTCTGCTTGTGTAGTATAGAAATCGAATCTGGGAAAGTACATGGGTTTTTACTGGGTTTATAATAATTTGTTTAACAGCTATGAAAAATACAAAATTATATCCGCCACTTTAATTACATCATAATTATAATCTGAACAGCCAATGCCTTGAGAAATTATTATCGATGGCTGGTCTAGTAGGTAAATATCTTCCATAGAGGTAGATTCCTTCGCTAATTATTGCGAAGCTAATAATACAAAATATACGCACACTCGTGAAATTAACTCGCAATTTCCGGCCTCGTCATTTGCGGCATTAAAAACACGTGTTCGTTAAATTACAGAAGAGTTAAGGAACAATAGATACCATTCAGATCATGAATCATCACAAGTTCATTGTTTACAATTTATGTCCGCTAGAGATTTGTAAGCGTTGAGGACATGTCTTTGCCAATCGCCCCGCTTCGCAGGTGTGAAAGTTTATAAATATGTTTTATCAACCTCTTTAACGACCTAGCCAGGATGGGGCTGGAGAATACATAGGAATTCTGTATTGAAACGGAAGGCTCTTAAGCGGGTGGTTCTTTTGAAGTTGAATCGTTTAATCGACATGAAAGCTTCCCGATTTTATAACTAACCTAAGACTTGGGAGCTTTGAGAACGTAGCTTTCTAATTGTCGTCTGTCTGGAGTACTCCTTGCCATTTTAACGGTGACCTAGCAACAGTTAAAAACATCACAAAAGACGCGATAAAGAGGCTTATGCCAGATATCCCAGCTGCAAATTTTAATCAAACACATACGTGCTGCGGGTTCTTTTATTGCTAGCGCTGGGTTAATGTTTCATACATATGGACGGGTGGTAAGTTTTATAAGGAGAGGTAATTAAAACTTCGCCGCATTACGACCTCACGCGTCATTGATAACCGCACGCTTATTTGACGATCCTCCTCGCGTTATAGTGTAACTGGACAACTAATGCCCGGTTCCTATATTCAACGAACGTCCGTTAGTTAAATAACTACATAACTTTCACGACTCGTTGTAATGATTTCATAATGACAATGTAACTAACGGCCGTTCGTTGAATATAGGAACCGGGCTTGAGAAGCGCTCCGGCCGATTGAAGTGCATTCCGCAGTTCGAATCTCGAAATCAGTTTTTTTATGTGGGAAGGTGGCAAGCCGGCTGGCGATTTAACCGATGTTCAGTGATAACCGCGGCCGATGGACATTTGCAACACCATAGGGTTGCGTTGCCACCTTTTAATAAAGCCGAACCCGGCTACCTCACTCACCAAACAAAACACTCTTTCACACTCACTTCACACCGGTCTTCTGCGAGTTCGTGGCCCTTACCCGGGCGGACCTGCCCATTTGTGCAACAGGAGTTGTTGCGTGGCCCTACCACAGTTAAATCGGTTTATACTTCTTTTGGTGCGTTTGGAAAAAGTCTACGACGCGCGCACACACCGACCACCATAAAGCGATATGACGCTTTGGTAATCACGATGTACGGGGAGTCTCCTCGCCTGTCGTTTTGAGGTGGATAGCAGGTGGTTCGCCGGATGAATTGCCCATTGGGCTTGGTACGTCACTCACCAGAAGAAACGCGAAAGCATAATACTCCTACTTCACGCCGGTCTTCTGTGAGGCTGTGTACTTTATTGGCCTATCTTTATCATTCTATATCGGTGGACGGAGATGTAACACAGTAAAAATTAAAGCTAGATTAGTGAAAGCGGTTAGCATTCAAAGTTCCAGTATAGATATTTTATTAAGGCTTAATTCGGGTTTGGCGAACTTAAAAAATTATCACTAGTTCACCAATTTAAACCAGCTCGGATACTTACTGGAAAATTCGCGATTATTTTATTTTGCTTTCTGTGTATTATTATCCGATGGCACTGTTGCCAGCTGTCGGCTTTGGTGGCGGGCCTGTGGGTTCGATTCCCAAACGGAACAAACATTAATTGTGCACCCAACAGCTGTTTTTTTCCGGACCTGGAACTGTTTTTTCCCAAGCAGGGTTAACGACAGGTGATGACATTGTGTCCATTGACTGGTTTGAAATGGCGAACTGTTTCCTAAGTAGTAAAGGATGATTCAGAGCCTGAACCAAGTAGTCACTCGAACCTCGAACCTGGAACACCTGACACCTGACACCTGAACACCTGGACACCAGTCGAAGACAGTAATCTTCGACTGGTTTCGCAAGTAGTTTACAAATTTAAATAAAAAACTAGCTACCTGGATATAAGAAAAAATTTCAAAAATCAGCCAGGTCAAGCATTATATTAAAGTGACGCTATACACGTATATGCTGACGATATAAAGTGACGCATGAGATGTGCAATTATTTGGTAGCTAAGCATTCTCATTATCTATATCTTACTACATTCTATCAAATTAATTTCTTTGCGAATTCTCAAAAAATTCTAAGATCTCTCATTATAATTAAACGAATTGAATGCTAACAGCGATAATTGTCCCTGAGTGCGGCCGTATGCGTTTCGCAACATTGAGACCTGTTTCGATGTTGACGACAGAGTAATTAGTCATTCAAGAAATAATTTGCACGTGATGCAAGAATTCTTTGGCCAATTCGACCTAAATAAATGTACAATCCAATCCCATTTCCCATAACGATTTTTCATACAATCATTGTTATATAATACTAGGTGACCCGGCAAACGTTGTTTTGCGATATAAATTACTTGTATGATAGAAAAAAATGTTTGGGGTAGACCACCCTTAACATTTAGGGGGATGAAAAATAGATGTTGTCCGATTATCCACCCTGGCCGATATGCACACAAAATTTCACGAAAATCCGTCGAGCCGTTGCGGTGGAGTTCAATTACCTACATAAATTGTGACAGGAGAATTTTATATATTAGATATTAGGTACGCGCTAAAAAAATAATATTCAACGATCTTTGCCGCGGTTTATTTATTTTTTAAATTTATAATTTAAACCAATCTGTATTTGACGTCTTGAAATCAAAATCGAACAGTTAGCTTTGTTATTTTTGGAATAGTCTGTGCAAGACATGATAAATTGAATTAAAAACATGCATTATGTAAGTAAGAACGCTTAATTTCTATACAAAATATGTTTCCAGGCTATTTTATCACTTTAAAATTCAGATCAACATTTGCATAAATACATTATCAGTGTCATAGACCAAATAAAATTCTGCAAATATATTTCCTATCTGTTTTTTAGTTTGTAAAACTATTTTATGGTGTAATATTTAAAATATGCATAAGGTTGTTTTAAAATTGGATTTTTTTTAAATGCTTTTTGTATTTAAAAAAATTCCAAATTCAAAACCTAGAAACGGAGCTCTTCAAGAAACATTGAATGCACAATTACTGGGCTGTGGGCGTGTAAAACGCCAATTAAACTCCGCAGCTGCTCCTTTTACACCAGTTAAAGGCTTGTTACTTCCGCTTCTCCGTTTAATTGATTGTGATGACACACTAGTGTTTCATGTGGCCATCGCCGTTAAACTTTTAAGATCCCGAACTTCATGCAATATTTTCAAGCAAAGTTGGCAATTTTTAGGGTTCCATACCCAAAGGCTAAAACGGGACCCTATTACTAAGACTCCGCTGCCTGTCTATTCGTCTGTCACCAGGTTGTACTCATGAGCCGTAATAGACAGATATCTAACTCACAATACATTTTCTATTCGATTTTGAGTCCAAGATTTAAAATTGCCCAAGAAGATAATTAATTTTAAAAATCAATAAATTTTATCTAAGATTCAAAGTCAAAGTCAAAGTACATTTATTCAATATAGGCCTAACTTAAGGCCCATTTACACGATGCCATTTTCTTGAACATACAAGAGCAATAATTGAACGCAATAAATTGCGCGCAATAATTGTTTAGACCATTTCTTGTTTAGACCATGCAACTCATTTATTGCTTCAATTTAATTGTATACAACAGGCAAGAAACCGGCACCGTGTAAATGGGCCTTTAAGCTCTTATTGAACGTCAACAAAAATCTACCACCTAACTATAAGATTAACTTATTACCTGTTTGTTTTAGACTTGGTTTAGGAGAAGGTCAAAAATAGCCAGAGTATATGTTTGTGTGATGCATCGATTATTTATTTATCCAGTTATATTTGATAACCTCAAATAAAAATTGTGAAAATTTATCCGATGCCGAAAGTGAAGAAATATATCGATATATCGATAGTTGTTGATACTATGTTGGCGAAAAAAAAAACGTATGCAAAGTAAGTATATTTTAATGTCGGAACTCTGTCCTGGATTCGAATTTGAAAAAAAAAATCGTTTTTCATGCGATTTTGATGTTGAATATTTTATATCCATGTATCAGATCAAAATATATCGACTAAAACATAGATATATTTAATAAAAAATATCGATATATCGATATTTTTTCGGCATCCCTAACCTGACGCTTTTTATTAATCTTACGAATTACTCTCACGAAGTGTATGGGTAATTGGGTCATTTTAAGTTATATGAAAACCCATCACATAACATGATTAAATTACTCGCACATTACCCTTTAGTTATGTGTCAAACATTATTATTTATTTATCGATATGTTAATTTCATCGTAATTTTTTATTTTTTTACGTATTTTTTTTTGTGATTTAACACAGACATGTTAATCTCCAACAAACTTTTCGCGATCCGTGTGAGCGATGTCGCGGTCAAAAGTTAGTTAAATGTTACATAACCGTTACACAAATTAAGCGGCATATTTTATATCGCCGATTTCTCGACGTCACTGCCGATACACAGTTATATCACTAATTTGCACGCCATTGATAAATAAGGGGAATTAATAAATAATTCATGCTATAGCATAGAAAAGAGTTAGAAAGTGTCGAATGCGAAAATGATGGCGCACCTAAATTGTTACAATATTGACATAACCAGAATTTCGTTTCACGGAGCGCGTGCGTTTGTGTTTTGCCCAAGAACTTATTTTAAGATATTTTATAAAAAGTGATTTTAAAATTATTATCAAGTCCAATAGTACCTAAGTGGAGAATAGTGTAAATCTTAGAAAAAAATTACATGCCTCATCCAAGATGGAAGTGTATCGTTTGCTTTTATTTATGACCAACCGTAAATTAAAAAAAGAATAATCGTAATGTGATGGATACGGAATGTGACCTAAACTTTAGCCAAGTGCAATAATAGCATTACCTACCAATATTCAACTGTGAAAGTGTGAGATTTCTATCTGTATTTTGTTGAAGGGGTTATACATTGACTTTTAAAATGTAAGACGTATTACGCTTATTATTATCCCGTATATTGTCTATAAGGTTCCACTGAAAAGTTTAGACTGTAACTTTTACCATCAATATACATTTTTATGACAATTGTTATCATAATTTTTGCCTCTTTTACAATGATACAAACTCAATCTTGACACTTTGTTAACTTAAAGTAAACTTATTTGAATTGAAAGCAATGAAATCACATTAATTTAAATAAATTGAATCCCAGACATATACTAAGAGTTATCATTAAAACTTTTCATATCAATGAAGAGTTTTAACTTTTCAGTTAAGACGTATTCAATTTAAATTTCAATGGGAAAAGTTAGCCGTTTTCGAAAGAAGTCTACCAATTTTTACCCAGAACTGCGTTTGCCGAAGTTTTGAATTAAATTTTACGGTTTACACCGTATCCTTTCAAACATAATTTAGCTGTTTGTTTCCAAACAAATATTCACAAGTCGTTTGCTACTAACGAACGATTTGAAGAGTGCCCGCGGTGCTTTGGGGAACGGGACTCTTTGTGTGGCATTTACGAGGATTCTTTGACGGAGAAACTCTTTCGTGGCACGTTTTGTGGGCACGTGTATTAAACATTCGGAAAAAGCGATTGGGAAACGAAGACACGTTTGGTGTAGAGGATCGATGATATATTATATTGTATATACAAATTAGGGGTAGACATGACACTAGCGCACCGAAACTGAGGCACTCAAATAAAACCAATTGGTGTAATTATATTATATTTCTATACATATACTGCTATCTCTTTCCGTATCATATCGTCTGTCACATTTACTTATATATCCAACAGTGGTAGGCCAAGCATCAGTTCGCTGATGCACGAATGGGCAGGTCCATCCGCGGAAGGACCATGACCTCACGGAAGACCGGCGTAAAGTAGAAGTATTATGCTTCTGCGTTTCGTCTGGTGAGTGAGGTACCCGGGGCCCACTTTTTTAAAAGGCAACGCATCTGCAACCCTACGGGTGTTGCAAATGTCCATTGACGGCGGTTGTCACATAACATCAGGTGAGCCGTCAGCTCGCTTGCCACCTTCTCACACAAAAAAGTATACCTTCAAAAATTTATGTCACCTCTTTGCTGCACGGTCGCCACTCCCTTCCAGGGTTATGCAGCAGGCCGGCGAGTGGTACAAGCAGAATAAGCAGCTGAAGAGGAGGAGCGCCGCGTTGCTCCACGCCCTGCCACCGACCCAGGTGGACATCGACCTCACGGACACCACAGACGCCGGTGAGTATGGATTGCCCATGATGTCTATGACGTCGGGAACATGTAGAACTTCGTCGATATGAAGCCCGCAGAAACAATAACCAACCCAACAGCAAGGGGCTATTTAAAATTTACGAGTGGCTTGTGGGGCTGTAGAAAATTTCCTATATAGTCTATTAGTTCGATAAAGTGACGATAGAATCCGGTCTTTAGTTTAATATTCCCAAGATGATTTAATTTTATTAAGTACTAGCTGCCCGGACAGACTTCGTTCTTTTTTTTATAGTATTAAAACTTTCCGTGGACCTTGAGGAATATACAAAAAAAAATTAGCCGAATTGGTCGAGCCATTCTTGAGTTGCGCTTACCAATATTCATTTTTATCATAGCTACTGTAGGTTTTAATTTTGTTTTTTTTTTGTTTTTATTTTTGTTTCAATTTACTGACGTATTACAACTGATACGTCCAATTAATACCCGTTACAATTAATACCCAAGTTTACAATTAATACGGGGGTTGCGAGTGCCCATGGGCGGTGGTTATCGCTTAACATCGGGCGCACGCTCGCTTGCCACCTTCTCACATCCAAACCATCGTTTGCAGCCTCCGACAGCAGCAGCAACGAGGAGGTGGAGTTCCTGAAGCGCACCGTCTCCGAGCTGAGCGAGCAGGTGGCCGCCCTGCAGACTGAGCTCAGCGCAGCCCGCCTCCACGAGTTCGAGGCCCACGAGCACAACGTCTCCCTCGCCCAGGTACGGTCTTCAGAAGTTCCCGTTCTTCGGACGCACACAAAAGCGTGTGCACTTCTTCTTCTTCTACTTCTTAGTCGTGACTCTTATTTAAATTGGTCAACGGGCTGTCTCCGTCGGTTTCACTCCGTCGCCTGGTGGAGTGCGGCGCTTATGGGGGTTTCCAGGTTTTTTGAAATTTGATCCGCCCATCGTTTAGGAGTACGGCTTCTAGGTCTTTTACCCTCTATTTTTCTTATGCACTCAACCACATCTTTACATAGTACTTGGGTTCGTCCAGTGATTGGAATTCGACCATAATTAATTATAAATGGTAGTGTGTGTAATGTTTTTTTTTGTTGATTTAATGTGTTTTATTGCATAATTTAAAAGAAATATTAGCATTCGGCACTCTGTATAAACCGTATGGGGAATTTAATACTCCTCCGTCCGCGCAGTTTTCGTAAAAGTTTTTGTTTCACGCACTAATAGATAGATTACTCAACAGACGCTTTCCCTTTGTTCTCACTCCATATGTCCGTAATGACCTTTACATTTGTAGCAAAATAATTGAAAAAAAAAAAACGCGCGACAACAACACACGACATCACGCAAGTATTCATCCCACGTGGTAATTCAAATTCATATTAATATAACAACAACTAATTAGCCAAATTGCTCCAGGCGTTCTCGTTCGAGTTTTAGCGAGACTAAAGAACAGCAATCCATTTTTATGTATAACATTATTTACTTAAAATTCGAACGTCCCATGATTATTAATACATGAAGTTTAGTACATGAAATAAAGCAATTGCTATTTAAGCCTACTCAGTAGTCTCCAACATTTCCTGATGACAGTCCCCTTAACGGCGCCCCTCCCTTAGGAGCTGGAAGTGGAGAAGGAGAAATGCAGCGGGCAGGAGAGGGAGTTGCAGGAGCTTCGCGGGCAGCTGGAGAGGCACAACCGGGTGTCGAAGCTGCTCATGGAGGAGGTCACAGCGCTAAAGGAGAACGCCGACAAGGACAGGGAGATGGCCGAGACGTGAGTGCAACTGGGACAGAACTGTCGGAATCGTTATCGAGATACCTTATGTGAACATTTTAGAGATAGTGTCAAGAAGCTTTTCCTTACAGAGCGCGAAATTCTCGACTTCTATGCAGATACTTTTTTTATTTCAATATAGCAATCTAGTGTCGATACTTTCGAAAATATAGATACATACAAATGAGTTCCTTTTTTGTAGATACAAAAAAACTTATTCATATTTCATCTTCAATGTAAAGTCTGCCAGAATGATATAAATTTTTATTATTCATATAAGTTAATCTTTATTCATTGTGGTTATTATTTACCAATTTTAATATGGTCGTATAATGGGTCAAATCAAATCATTTATTCATCGAAATAAGAAATATACATTTCGTCTATCGATAGATATTTTTTTAATCCACCACCGTTTCGTAATGAGGTTCCTCTAATGGAGAAGAAACAGGCGAAAGAAACTCCGTAGCTATCCTCTTTTTTGTCATTTTTTTTTTCTCAAACAAAAATACATTTTTATACAGTACAATGTTTTTTATTTAGAAACAGCTTAGGAGCGATCATCTCATTCCCGGGGGTTATTATCGTTCATGTACTCTTTTATACTGTAATAACCCTTTTTAATTAGTTTTTCTTTAATAAATTTCTTAAACCTGCTAATAGATATGCTTTGCACATTAACTGGGATTTTGTTGTAGAAGCGTTTACACAGTCCCATACTTTCGAGAGTAAGCTATTTGTCTACCATATCATGCGGTACAATTCCGCCCGTGCGGACGGTATCCGTGGACCGATAGAGTTTGGGGGCGGCAGGTACCGCAGCGAGGCGCGCGACGCGAAGAAGCGCGTGAAGGCGCTGACGCACCAGAGCGCGCTGCTGCTGGGCGAGCTGGAGATGGACGAGCGGCTGGCGCGGCTGCTGGCCGAGGTGGACGCGCTGCGGGCGGCGCTCGGCGCGCAGCACGACGCGCACCGCGACCAGCTCGACCGCCTGCAGGTGCCCACACACCCACCTAATCCCGCCACGCTCAATTAATCCCGCAACACTCACTGAACACCGCAACACCCTAATCCCGCAACACTCATTGGAATCCCGCCACACTCACCTAATCACGCCACACTCACTGAACACCGCAACACTCACCTAATCCCGCAACACTCATTGGAATCCCGCCACACTCACCTAATCACGCCACACTCACTGAACACCGCAACACTCACTTTATCCCGCAACACTCATTGGAATCCCGCCACACTCACCTAATCACGCCACACTCACTGAACACCGCAACACTCACTTTATCCCGCAACACTCATTGGAATCCCGCCACACTCACCTAATCACGCCACACTCACTGAACACAGCAACACTCACCTAAACCCGCAACACTCATTGGAATCCCGCCACACTCACCTAATCACGCCACACTCACTGAACACAGCAACACTCACCTAAACCCGCAACACTCATTGGAATCCCGCCACAGTCACCTAATCACGCCACACTCACTGAACACCGCAACACTCACCTAATCCCGCAACACTCATTGGAATCCCGCCACACTCACCTAATCCCACCATACTCATCGAATCCGGCCACACTCACATAAACCCGCCACACTCACCGAATTCCGCCGAACTCATCTAATCTTATCACACTCACTGAAGCCCGCCACTTTCCCACCTAATCCCCCGCACTCACCTAATCTTATGGAAAATATGCAGGTTACCTCACGATGTTTCCTTTACATTGACAATATCATTGGTGCCGCACCCAGGTTTGAACTCAGGTTGTTCGAGTGTATTGAACTAAAAACGAGCGTCTGGATCAGTACATCATATGCATCTACTTTATATATTATAGCACAGTCATTCCGATGTTTGTACGCTTAGATCTTATAAATTATGCAAAGGATTTTAATGCGGTTTTTAGCAATAGACAGTGATTCAAGCGGAAGGTTTATATTTGTATAAAAGCCTAAAAATTTCATATTGCACCCGTCTGAAGCCGGGGCGGGTCGATAGTATGTTATATCGGAATTTACTAATTCCACAGTTGCAACTGGCTGAGAAACACGAGGAGACGGACATTATGCTTTGGGAGGAGAAGATAAAACTGGCCGAAGAGGACGCGCAGAAGGCTCTAGAACGAGCGGAGAAGGCGGAGAGGAAGCTGTCAGAGATGGAGAGGAGTAGACCACAAGCGAAGAAATCGGCGCTCATGTCCAGGATAAGCTACTTCGAGAGCGGCGGCAATGAGAAGACCAGCACAAAGGAGAGATTAGAAGACAAGACAGAAGTGATAGAAGAGAAGGAAATTAAAGAAGTTTGTGGTAAGCCTTTGGTTTTTAAATTTTTATATTGTTAATCTCTGCACTTAAGATGAAATATTAAAATGTGTCGAAAAAAGTACGAAAAGTCAAGTATAAATGATTATAATTTCATTCATCGAAAATAAAATTGCGACGGAATACAAACACAAATTGATGAAGAATGACGATGCCTATATTGGTTTACTTGAACGGTAAAATATCACACGGTAATAGGATTTTTCTCCACAACTTTTTAACAAACAACGTCTTATTCCGATATTGTTAAGCGTAGTCATATTAAAGTTTAGATTTGCAACGAAACACAACTTAATATTATTAAGGGAACACATGAAAAAAAAAAACGAATCGAAAATTTCAGTAGCCGCCAGCGAGGAGGCGCCCCCCGCAGCCCCCTCGCCTCCCCATCCCCCCGACACAACCACCCCCGCCCCGCCCCCTCCGCCGCCTCCGCCGGCGTGCGCCCCTCCCCCTCCCCCTATGCCGCCGCCGCCTCCCCCTCCCCCACCCCCACCGCCCGCGTTCACCGGCGCAGCGGAGGTGGAGGACATGGCGAAGATGCTGGCCTCGAAACAGGGCACCCTCAAGAGGACCAAACAGAATGGAGGTAAGGGAAATTTATTTATTTAAAAACTTTTTGCTCAATAGCGTACTTACACCATTAGCTGTTCTCTACCACGTTCTACGTTAAAATAAAACTAATTTATGATTATCATTCAGATCATTAAGAAGATCAATCTGGTCAGTTTAGAGAGTTTCGCCTTCTGCGAATATATGTCGTTGCTAGTGAACTGCTTGAGCTTCAACTTTTCACATGAGAAAAAGTCACGCAGTCTAATGATAACATTGACAGATTTTGTTTCATAAGCCTTGATTTTTCATTAAATTGATATGTGATTGTACCCATTTTGTAGGTGATCAAATGTCGCAATTGTGTCGTTAAAATAGCAAGAAGTACAAGTGGTTAGACACTTTGAAGTTGGTAGGTAAGAAAGTAAGATGTGTAGACGCGGTATAACGTAGGATCTAGCACACTACCTTGTGGAACCCTCGTCACTGTGTTAAGAGCGCTTCATCGTTCCAGATAAAGAAATGTCCGAAATTTTTTTATAAATGGTATTTCCGTGCTTAGTTTCGTGGTGCTTCCAAGATTGGTTTCAAGTTCTTATCAGATTCACTTATTTTTCTGGGGACCCTTCAATTGTTTGTAATCATTTGTGCCGCTTTTTTCATGATTTTTGTGAAAATTATGTGGATATTTTAAGTGCTTCGACTATCCAATGTCGTAAAACGGAGCAGTGGGCTCTTTCATTGTGCAATGTACACTTTTTAAGGTCTCTTTTTCCTTACTTTTGATGTCAACGATTATAAGTGAGTAAAATCATCACAACAGTCATTGCAGTTTATATTGGTTTTTTAGATGCCTTTGGACTACCCAAAATAACAGAAGTTAAAAACAACTGGTAATTTCCTTTTCTGATGGCCAGTATTTTGGTTGCCAAAATAACATGTATACTTTTTAGGAAAAAATTTTAAAAAAAATTCTATCGCTTGGCAGCCGAGAGCCCCTAAAAGTATATTTTTTTTCAATAAAGCCTTTTTGGGGCAAATTAGATACTAAACTGACTTTATTTAATGATATTACTTTAATATTTTTACAATATAGCTGAGATTGGTATTATTAGCTTTATTATTTTATTTCATATTTATGTATATGTATATATTTATAGTACAGTATATATATATATATATATATATATATATTTATATATGTAAACTTTTATTTAATTGTATTGTATTATGTATATATTTATGTGTAATTAGTAAAATATTTATATTTTAAATGTTTGTGCACCTACCTCAAAATCTCGGTACCACCCTAAGGTTGACTGGTAGAAAATGCTGAAAGCATTAAGTCCGCCTATGTACAGAGTTATGTGCATGAAGTCTTAAAATAAATAAATAAATAAATAAATATTAATTTCGATAAGGATAGCTGACCTAACATCTGCTTTTCCATGAGGATGCATGGTATGATGTAAACACTCGAAAATTTAGAAAAATCTCAAAAACATGAAGTATATTAAAATCAATACGATGGCGTGTTAAACAATATTTTCACGTATTTGACCGGTCGTTATTTGACATTAAAGTCCTTTAAATATAAACCTAATCGAAAGTACCGCACACTTCCCTCCAGGTGGCGCCATAGACGCGATAGTGGACCAAATCAAGTGCGGCAAGTTCCAGCTGAAGTCGACCGACCAGAACTTCATGGAGAAGAAGCCGAAGGATGACCAGCCCGAGGCGGTGAAGGAGATGCTGGCGATCCTCGGCACCCTCAGGAAGAGGAGGGGCGGGAAACGGCAGAACTTCGAGGAGGAGCAGGAGCCCTGAGCAGGTCATCACAACCTTCGAAGTCCCTTCCGGATTGACTCGAGACGTGGTCTTAACTCAGGGATGGTGTAAAAATATCGATATATCGATATTTTTGATTCTACATATCCACATATATTTTCAGCCGATATGTTTGGATCTGATATATCGATACAAAATATTCAATGTCGAAAACGATAATTTTTCAAATTCGAATCCGGTGCGGTGTTCGTAGGTGTCAAATATTAATTACTTGACACATCTTTTTTTTTTTTGACAACGTGGTTTCTAGGACATATCCGATATATCGATAATTTCTCTTCGAGACCAAAATTTTTAGAAATATCGATATATCGATATATTTCATCACTTTCGACATCACTCCCCTGAGCCCCGAAGGTCACATCACAACCTTAATAAGCCCAACTTCCAGATTGACTCGAGACGCGATCTTAACTTAATAGCTTTAAGACCTACAGGCTTATGTGAATCACGTATTTCCTACATTCTCTAATAAGTCATTGTCAACTATTTTGCTAGTATAATGTTTTGTGTTTACGTAATTTAATTTACATATCGTAAAATCTATATCTATTTTTACACTGGTATTTCAAAGGGTCCAAAAGTATATTTTCTTTCTTATTTTATTAAAGCTAATATATTCACACCTAAATTTTATGGATGTTCCATCCAATGGGTACGTGACCATAAATGGTTTGCCAGTTAATATACATATCGTTAAATCTATATTTACACTGGTTTTACAAGGGGTCCAAAATTATAATTTCCCGTAGTAAAAGATTTTGTGAACCTTCCATCCAATTAGTGTGTGACCATAGTTACGGTTGCCAGTATAATATTTCCACTCAAAAACCTTTCATCGATACCTCTAAATCTTAATATGTAAAAATACTCAAAATTTTTAACATTTCACCATTATTAATTTTATATTCAAGTTACCGGTATCAGTTATATGCATTTACGATATACCAACAAATTTATTTAGTGCATTTTTTTTGTCTGTGCCTTATTGTATTATGTATTGATATTTTGCTCTAAACATGACAAATTAATTATATTATAAAAATATTCTAGTACAAGCGTTATTAAAAAAATACAATATATTTACAACTAAAGAAATTAGTACATGAAATATTTTGTTCCAATGGATTCCTAAATTAAGAAAATCCTAAATTATTTTCTATGGCGATAGTTAAACAAATCATCATTTTATAGAAATTTACTTTATAGAAATAAGTGTTAAGTAAATAGTTAAATTTGTTACATGTGGCTTCTGAAAGTGATATTTTAATCCGCACAAATATTTAATTATAGTGCATATCAATCAATATACATGATATAAATAGGTAATAGTTCTAAGCATAATTATACGAGCGATTCGCATTTGAAGTGTTTATTTTATCCTCATGTGTGTTAAAAATATCATTATTTTTATAAGTGGCAAGGTTTTTAATATTTTACCATTTTTAAACTTAATGTCTTAAGTCTAGCGAGTGTTGTACTCTCGGTTTTAAATAAAGGCGTTGCAAATGTCGTTTCGACGTTTCGAACGATAGTCGCGTAACTTAATCCACGTTAAATATTCACAACTCACAGATAACCTTTTATTTTACACCCGAAATGTTAATACACGGCATAAGCATAACTCATTAAAGGATTTGAATCATTTAGGTTATGTCGATGCATCTCTCGATCACAGCGCCCAATCGATTTCCTTCAACAGTGGAATCACTCCCTACTATTGGAGTTTTGTTGCGTATGTGTATGAAAGTGGTTGTACTTTTTATGAAATATTAAAAAAAAAATAGAAAATTACCCATATAACAAGACGTAGACAGATTTCATACTTCATTCTACAACTCGGACGAGATAAGAAGATTGCAGTCTGTTAAATATTGGTTGATACGCGGGACATTGACATCGACATACAAATATGAAGTTCCGTATTTTTTAAACAAAAAATGCACGTAACACAATGTGGTACTTTATTTCGTAATTTCACTTTAGTTTACTAATGCCAATGTCCCGCGTATCATCGTATATTTAACAAAATGTACCTACGGTCTACTGTCTTCTTGTTTTCGTCAAAATTCAGTTCTCAATGATATTGTCAGTACATAATTAAAGAAATATATATTTACTTATAATTTAGGTATGTAAAATTAATTTACCTACTCTATTTACGATAAACTCTAAAATTCGAATGTTACCTATTTTGTATGCATTTTTTAAGAAGTAATATTCTCTTATGTTGTTTTATACTAAATATAGTGAGTTAAAAATAAGTTAAAATGTTCACTCTTCGTATAGGTTTAGACGTAAAGGATTTTTATACAAAACAAATATGGTACATTAACAAACCCATGTTAAATTAACATAATTATATATTTTTAAAGAAACATATCCAGATAACAATTGTAATGATCTCCATAATAAGTATATTACTAAATTTGTAATCTTTAATTATACTCAGATTTTGTCCATTACATAGAAGTTACGAAGGCAGAGTATATACATTATTATCTATAATTTAATACAAAATTTTACAATAATTTGTGTAGTAAATTAAGTAAAGTGATTAGATTCGATATGAAACTAAGTTGTAAAAACGAAATCTTTTTTTATCTGTAATTTATGACAGAGATTTGCGTTTCTTTTTTAAAGTTACCGTCGGTGCCATCAAGTTGCAACGATCCGTCGCGAAGAGAATAACTAAAGCATTTCTCTTTTAAGAAATAGTATTATCAGTTTATATATTAAGAAAATATTATGTTTTTTTTATTATCAAAATAAATGTAATGAGAAATGACGTGTGTTATTATTTCTGAATGTTACATGAAGAATGCAAGTGAAAATTGGTTTAGGCGTAAATTTTAAACTCCAATGCAATTATTATATAAAAATCAGATGTAGATATTATACTAGCGCAGCGAAGCTAAGGTACTCAAGTTAATGACTGTGTGACTGCCATCTCTTTCTGTATCATACGTTCTACGTCATCTGTCACATTCACATATTTGTCATATAATGAAAAACGGATTTTTTAGGTAATTCAACAGAGTAGTATTATCAAAATTTATTTCTATTTCGTGCCTAAAATATCACAATCTCCTCTCTTTTCGCAAAGTAAATTTTCTTCTCTTAAATATTCACTATCTAAGCTTTAACCTGATAAAACATCTTTCACATGTCATTGGCGAATCCATAAAAAGGAAAGAAGAAAAACGGATTTTAAAGGGATATTTAAACGCCACGCATTATAGACATGCGTCATCTATTATTAAACATCATTGCTCCAGTGGGACACCATCTGCACATTTTCTTATATGAAAATTTAAAAATCAAACTGTTATGAGTGTTAAATTCGAAATGACGAAATTTTAATTTTAATTTTTAATTCTTAAAAAAATACAGTTTAAAAAAAAACAGCTTTATTATCACTAAATTAATAATAAGGCACATTCCTTGGTCAAATTTGAGTTCAGGTTCCTCAAATTTATTATATTCCAATAAAGTATTGTGATTTGAGACGAAGGGATAATCTCTTATAACCCAAGCCTTTCGTCGCAACATGTCACTTAGTATAATGGTCGTTTTTCCAACATTATTTACAAAATGTTTCAGTACTTCCAAACGCAATTCAACTTTATAAACTTTACGGCTTTCTTCTATTTTATTTTGTTAGTGACATCATTAAATGTAACCAAGACCCTTCAAACAAGTGTAGACGATCTGCCAGAAAGCTAACATTTGGACATTGATTTCGATTTTGTTTTCTTTTCCTCCGCTACCGAGTGCGCTAAAAATAAATCCCATTTCTGGTGCGTCACTGCAAAAGAGAAAGACATGTATAAAAGTGGCTTGCGTTGCATATTTATCTTTTTTGTAGTAAAATTTTAAAACGTATCGAATTTCTTCATTAGAATCGTTCATCTTAACAGTAAGAAAAACAAATGAACATTTTCCTAATTTGAATTTGAATTAGCTTTCTTAAAATTTAAACTTTTTAATAATACCAAAACCAGTAAGACACAAATGGCATAGCCAAAGAAATTATATAGTATTTGCGAAAAGAGTTTTTCCCCAACCTAATACAATGTCTTCTTTTTTAAATTTGTAATACATTTAATTAGTAAGATTTTCTATTTTTTTTTGACGTCGGGAATCGTAAATATGGTAACAGTACCTAGTTTTACATTTTTAATACAGTACTTATAATATTTATTACAAGTCTTTGCATTAGTTGTAAAGGCCAAAATTTAATCTGTTATTTTGGAAAAAATACATTCATAAATTAAGCATATATACAAGTGCACAAAAAAATTTGCATATGTAAACTGTAACTTAAAAAAAAAGGAAAATAAAAGACGCAAAAATAAATTAAAAAAAATCTTTAATAAAACAATTAAAATGTCACGTAACAAGTGCTATTCTAAAATGGACGGAACATTAAACATGAAAGCAACAAAAACATACTGTACATATCAACTGAACGATATAATAATTAAAAAACCCTATTTTCAACATTTGTACACAAGTTTTTTATAAATTATCTTTCAACATAAACAGAAACGTATCTTTCGATTTTATTTTTATACGCATACAGTTAGAGGTCAACATAATTAAATCATTTTAAATAAAAAAAAAATAAAGTAAAGGATCTTATTATGCTCATTTATTATGATAACAAAATAAAAAATAATAAAGTATAACTAGTAAAAAAAAATATTTAGAGTTGAGCAACACAAAAAGAAAAATATTTCCATCACAATCTGATGTCAACTTATTACAGATAAAAAAGAAATATTGGCTTCGTCCATATTGTTATCGCTTAGTTTTATTTCAGTATTTAGCTTTTAATATTATCACATTCCAATGTTGTACTTGTAAGCCGGCAGCCTATGACTGGATATATTGTGGATAGCGAATATAGATTGCATGAAGGCTGGTTGCGCTTGCCACGAGTCGAGAGTGGGCACTCGCCGCTGACTGGCGGAACAATTTTATTTTATCTGTACTTCTCACCAACATCATAATATATGCGCATAATTTAATATATAGCAAAATATTTGTGATTGTAGAAAAAAATTACTTTATCTGTACATTGTTCTTCCCACTATCATAATGAAAGTGCTGCTAAAGCATAATTAACACGATAATTGACGTGTGTCAAAAAAAATTATTTAACTAAAGCGCAGCTACGCAGCTATTAATTCCTATAAAAGAAAATCTAAAGTACATTTATGTTATAACTTTTTTTATAAAAGCTCCTACAAGCATAAAAATATCTACTTACGGGCTTATTTAATTAATCTCAACAATTGCACTAAATGTAACGCCTTTAAAATTACCTATTATTTTTATGTCTATAATGATATAAAATATTTCTCAACTTTAAATTGACTTACTTATTGTTTTTTTTTTTACCAGTGATTTAAAAAGGCGTCAATTTGTAAGACTGTCGCATAGAAAATGTTAGTTCCGATTTGCAAACTACAGATTTTTAGATTATAACAACTTCAAGCTTACTGCTTTAACTACGTATGCTAAAATTTATACGCGAAGAGATTAAATGAAGTACTATTAAGTACAAAAATTGTCATTACTAAGTATACAAGTATTTATTTATCACTGAGTCATGATCAAACGCAGTTACGCACACCGGGAGTTTGTTCTCGTGTCACCTTACCCGAATTTTTTCAATTTGTTTTGAAAAGAAAATTTCAATACCCTCGAGTACAAGAATCGCTTAAAATCATTTTATATGTAATAATTTTCAATGGCTAATTTTATCCACCTACTAAAATATATCTTCACGACCCGTGTCGACTGGGAGAGAATGTCTAAAAGGCGTTAAGGTCGCCCCACCTAGACTTCGAAGGTGTTTGCAATAGAGAATAGATAAATAAAAGTTTAGTTTGAGCTAGACAACAAGCGATTGCCTGTGGCGGGAGCGAGACAACAATATTTCACTACACGCACACATGCCATCGAGCTCCACAGGCGCATTTAGGTTTTACTAGTGAATCTCGACCGACGTCACGAAACGAACTCGACCGGTGTCACGGAACGAACTCGACCGGTGTCACGGAACGAACTCGACCGGTGTCACGGAACGAACTCGACCGGTGTCACGGAACGAACTCGCCGGGCGTCGCTACGTAAAGAACTCGTTCGCCCTTACGAGGAGAACTCGCGCAGACGGGCGACCACGTGGCGCCCGTTGCGACTCAGCCAGTCTATGTTGACCCGCGCCCTCTCCACCGCCTGGTCGACGGCGAGGCTCGACTCCTCTAGATACTTGGCGTTCACCTCGCGCCACGCCAAGAACTGCGGAACAACGTAATGGAATGCGTTCTCAAGAATATCATCTGTAGGGATATTGTTATTATCATCATCGTTTCGGCCTGTTCGAGTCCAATGCTGGACATAGGCTTTTGTCATAGACCTTTGCACAGTTAATCACTTGTGTGGGGGATCGTCCTGCACTACGATAACAATGCAATAATTATGTCTCTACAACAGGCTCTCAAACTTTCTTCGGGTGTTTAATTTTAAAATTTAATTTAAAAAATTAAAATTTGTATAGTACTAATTTCTGCACTTAAGATTAAATATTTTTAATTTTTATCACTAAACAAATTAGGATCAAACATTGTTTAAGTTATTGGCTCGAACAGACTTCGATCCTTTTTTCGAATAATAAATGTACACAATCAATGTTTAATCGTAGTTACTCTTGACATTGAACAATTATAGGCAGGTCATTCCACCATTTTCAGAATTCTTTCTTACAATATGGGAAAAAAACTTCAATATTTTTCGGCATACAGCATATTATGAATTTTGACCATATTTTATCTGGCCACATCTAATTAAGTTTTACTGTAAAGAAACAAAAGCAGAATGATGACCACTTACCTCATCCAGCTCCTTTTGAGTGGTGAACTGGTCCAGTAGGGTCTTGAAAATGTAGCCCAAACGGCGGCCTTGGCTGAATCTGTAAGAATGGTAGGACCGTGACGACTTTCCAAATCGTCAGATTGTCTGACGGAAAAAGCGCAAATGTTAGTCATTTGACCTCGTTTCGTCAGACATTTTTATTTTATTGTAATTAAAAGAATATTGCAAATTATTAAACCGATTTCAAATTAGTTTGAATACAAAAAAATCTGTAGAGATAATTAAAATTTTAACTTGGGAAGTTCAGTTCGAGAAAACAAATTCAAATAAAAATATGCAGTCCACGGTAGAATGCAGTTCCGAAGTAAACCATCCGGGCAATTCACGAAAAGAAGGGACGAAGAAGAAGAATAAAAAGTTATTGGTCAGTTCAGTATAAAAAAATTGAGACAAAGCGGTCATCCACAAAAAAAAAACGAATAAAATTAACGAATAAAAAGTAATTTGCCAGTGAAGAACTCAAAAGTGTACTGTTTATAAAATAATATTTAATTTATTTTATGACTATGGCTACAGAGTCATTTAGTCGGAACATTAAATAAAAAACTAAAATCTGGCAGTGGTAGTTTCTAAAAAAAAATTTTTTTAAGACTTCATACACGTAACTCTGTACATAGGCGGACTTAATGCTGACAGCATTTTCTATTAGTCAACCTTTCGTTTAGCTTCAAAGAACGAATTGATCGAATACAAAGCCGTCCTACTCATGCCCTTTTTTATTGGATCGACCACTATTGGCCTCGGGAGGCCTTTACAGATCCCCGGGCTCGAGGTGGCCCAACCTAGCCTGAACCTCGATTATGGGTGACTAAGCTCGAGGGCTCCCGAGGGAGCCTCGGCTCGGGCCGTCACGCTATTATTATCACCGGGAGGCCGCCAAGCTCTTAGGGCGCTTTGGCCGACGCTCCATCGACTGTTTATAGGCACAAGGGCACAATGGCTTGGGCTGTCACTCAGTATCCGTTTAGCGTTCCGATTCGAGGGTGCCCGAGAGGGTCGGACCTGAGCCCGATCAGTAGCTGTTATCTGACTAGAAAACTTGGCCAGCAACATGATAATGTAAGTCGAATCGCAGCGCGTGCGTGTCAAGTGTGTGCCTGTGTGCCGTAGAAGCTCCGCCCGGTCGGCGGCCGTGACCGTGGCTACTCACGCGGCGTGCACGTCCGCGATGCGCCCGTAGAGGAAGTCCCTGGCGACGTAGAGGCCGTTGGCGGAGCGGGCCACGGCCGCGACCACGGCCGCCGCGTCCTGCCGCCGCACCTCCGAGCCCTCCGTCACCGCCCACTCCAGGTACCTTATGACGTGTACACGGTACACGATGATGTTTTACGCAACGGCACATCTCAAACGCACCGTAAAAAGAACAGGGTTAAATTTTAAATGTACCATAGCTGTCTAAGTGAGCGATTGCAGGTCCACGCTACATTTTCCCTCAACCTACGCGAGATCGACACAACTGTCGGTTTGGGCTATATTTCTTTGCTGCTTTGCAGCTCTGTGCTACATTTCCATCATCCTCCTGCCATTAACTCACCTATGCGGGGTCAGAGCAACTAGCGGTTGGGGTTGGGGGTTTAGCGAGGTGTGTAGTAAGATATCACGTGTATTTATTTTTTCGTCAAACGCGCGATTTCTAAGCCGAAAAGCTGTGTGTACTCTAACCTCGACTCGCGGTTATGTATCATGTTCTTTAATTTGAGAATAAAATTTGATTATACTCTAAACCTGTATTTAAAGATAACATTGTAAAAATTTTAAGATTTTTCGTAAGTACTAAAATACACGTGATTTTGGGTGGGGGTGGGAGGTGGTCTTAAACATCTCCGGTTATCACCAGGGGAGGAGGGGTGCGTGGAGTCCCTCCGCGCGGAAAAAGTGAAACTTCGACGCAACTCATTCACCCTCGCTCTGTCTCTTTTTTCTCCTCCCATGGTAGCGTCAAACGTGTAACGCAACCGTGTCGGTAGCCGCACTAGAAGTCACTTCAAAAAGACGCCTCACTGGGCCAGGATCCAAACGTCGCGCGAGCAGGCCAGCGCGTGCAGCAGCTGGTCCCTGGCCGCGGCCACGTTGGAGGCGCGCCGCCGCTCGAGGGCGAAGCGCCACTCGCGCACGGAGCCCCGCGCCACCGCCACGCAGTACACGGTGCGCCGCAGGTCCAGCGGGATGCTGCGAGTACGAGTGCTTTTTATGCGAGAACGTGGCGAGCCACGACATGCCCATTCGTGCAACAGTCGAAGCTGTTCCGTGGTCCCACAGTCAAGGGTGATAATTAAATTCAATCCTAATGTTCACTCTTCATTCGCAGTCAAATTAGACTACAGCTTTAGCGAAAGTTGGAAGAACCGTTGTAAAATCTACAACATTCGGTCAAAGTTCTATCAATTACGGAGTTTTTTGACGCACGCAAGGTCGGGCTTCTAACCTACAAGTCAATGTACCGGAAAAATCCTCATAATTTACTGTAGAAATTTAGTTTGTAAATATTTTACTGGTGTACTATGTAACGATTTTTTTTATTTCATATAAGAGGTTATATATTGCGTATTCTCGGCAGTAGACTCAAAACGGGCTGAAATGATGATAATGATGATACTCACGGGTTTTCTTCGTCAGGTCGAGGGGAGTTCATCCATTTGTCGAACAGAGCAATGGCGTTCTCCTCGCAGCCGGGAACTTTCATGCGGCACGCCCAAGCGCTGGTCATAACCTGACGGTAGTCAGAATACAAATTAGTATATATTTCGTGTTCCGTACCCGAAGGATAAAACGGGACCCTATACTAAGACACCGCTGTCCACCTGTCTGTCTGTCCGTCAGTCGCGAGCGTGTATCTCATGAACCGTGATAGTTAGACAGTTGAAATTTTCACAGATGATGTATTTCAGTTGCCGCTATAACAACAAATACTAAAAACAGTATAAAAACTATTTTAGTGCTCCTATACAAAAGATATGATTCTTTGCAGTTTTTTAGATAGTGGTACGGAACCCTTCGTGTGCGAGTCCGTCTCAATATAGCACAGGATTTCATGCCGTGTCCATACTTATCGGGTGCAAAAGTATAAATACTTTTACTTAAGGTCGCACGTGTAAAGAACTGCAGTAAAGTTGTATTCTATATCTCATCTATCTACTCAGCATTACAAAATAGGCCTGGGACAGATTATCTATTCTTACCAACATGTTTGAAGTGTTACTAAGTAAAGATTCGTGTTTACATCATTCCTACTTAGATTGATGTATAAGTACACACCTTACAAACTTACAAACGTCAACCTTAGCTTATAACATTAAAAGTGAAATTTATATCTATGCTTTAATATCCTATAAGGAAATTGTAGGAATTGATGGGGCAAGAGATCATTGAATATCAATAAAAAGTGAATAAAATTCCGATATTGAATCGATAAAGAAATATTGGAAAATAAATAAAATAAGATGGTTAATCAAAAACTTGTCTAAGCAATTCAATTTGAAATTTCTTACTCTTATCTATTGATTGACAAAATACAACTGCGGGTACCGAGTCGGAATAGAAAAGCCTGAACTGACCTGAGAAGATCCGGCGAAAGAAACTCAGCGGGACAATTTTCTTTTTTTCTATATTTATTAGTGAAACATGTTTACAATATATTATAGTCCACTTGAAACAGTCAGGAGCGATTAAATCATTTCCAAAGTCTGTTGTCACTACGATTATAAAAGAACACAAACGTTCGTTGATAGCAACTGTGTATAGAGCCACGCAGCAGTCTTTGATATTGCACGAATGGGCAGGTCCGACCTTTTAAGTACCACGACCTCAAAGAAGACTGGTGAAGTGGAAGTGAATACTTTTGCGTTTAATCTGGTGAGTGGGGTAGCCGGGGCCCACTTTGTTATAAGGTGGTAACGCATCTGCAATCTTACGGGCTTTGCAAATATCAATGGGTGGCGGTCGGACATCAGCTGGCTTGCCACCTTTTCTCATTAAAAAAAAATCTAATACATTTTGAATGTTTTCTGGGATTTTGTTGTAGACGTTTCTACAACAAAATCCCAGAAAACATTATATACGTTGCACCATAAAAGATTTACCTATTCTACACAGTCTACTTGTGGATGCAATAATTAATTATCGTCTGTTCTAAGTATTTATATCATGCTCATTAATAAAAATTTATTTGCGAAAAAATTATCAGATTATTGATTTAGCCTAGAAAAAGAAGCGTGAACTGAGACTGTCAATATGAAATAACCAACCTGCATCTTAACACTGTTCAAGTCATCGCCATTGTTGATCTTGCCTGTTGCCAACCCGCCGACTCTGTTATAAGTCTCCCCTGGAGAATAACACAGATAATACGTTTTACTTGTGAAGCGATGTTTGTGATGCCCAGGTTTTCACAGTTACTAAGATGTAGGTTCGATGGTACAGATAGAATCACGGAGCACCATTTTACAAGCAAGTGTTATTATATAAAAACTTTAAATCCTTCTTGATAGCCTTCGGTCCTTTTGTTACTATGAAATACTAGCGGACGATCCTGTACACGTCTTAAATTCGACAACAACATATGTATATAAAAATTAATTACATTATGTAGAGGACTGAATTGTGAATATGAACCATTATCGAATCCACTTTAACACTCCAGTTCAATATCACACCCACAGGATAATTATATATAAAGATATACAAACTAAATATTTGTCGATGTTTTGGGAAGTTGGATGGAAATTCAACATAATTTCAGTAGACACATTTGAGAGTAGTGTACAATACTTTGCACATAAGTAACATACTTTATAAACGCCTTAATATATATTGTATAATTTTGTCTATGAAAACACCGACACACTGACAACTGAGCAACAGAAGAATGGACACGACCGGTCAATTGCTCTGACAAGTCTAATTAAATAATTGTAATTTTCTATTACAATAAAAATTTCTTATGTTAGCATTCCACAAGTTTTATTTGGACCCTAACAAGTAGTACTGTTTGTATCAAAATCAAAATCAAAATCAAAAATATATTTATTCAAATAGACGCTTGCGCGCTCTTATGAATCGTCAAATTTTACATCAAAGATAGGTTCGTAAGGTACCACCGGTTCGGAAAGCAGTTTCTGTTGAGAAGAGACCGGCAAGAAACTCAACAGTTGCTCTTTTTCAAAAGTATCAATTAACAATATAATAAACAGGTACAATAGTCTTATTCTAGCCTACGTGAGTATCAACAGTATCAACTCCACACATTGGCGTCGTCGAGATATTCCGAAATGGTATAGTATGCTTTAATCATTAGTTGATTTTTAATTTTACATTTAAATTGGTCAAGCGGCAGACTTAATATCGACTGTGGGATTTTATTATACATGCGCACACCCTGCCCCATGAAAGACTTATTTACTTTTTGTAGACGAAACAATGGCGTAGTAAGTTTGTCCTTATTTCTAGTTTATTTTATGTCTGTCACTATTCTTTAGGTAATAATTAAGGTTATGATGTATATACAAAACATTACAATAAATGTATTGAGAAGCAACAGTGAGTATATTAACCTCTTTGAAAAGATCTCCGAGTGAATTCCGGGCTCCGATATTGTAGATTGCTCGGACAGCTCTTTTTTGAAGAATAAATATAGAATTTATATCTGATGCACTACCCCACAACAAAATGCCGTACGACAAGATGCTGTGAAAATAACTAAAGTAAACAAGTCTGGCAGTGTCGATGTCTGATAGCTGCCTAACCCTTCTAATCGCAAAAACCGCGGAGCTCAGCCTATACGCAAGAGATGATATATGGGGACTCCACTGGACATTTGAATCTACTACAATAGATGGCGCCGTGCTTTTAAGCAACATCTCCTCGTTTAAAATAATTGTTTAAAAATAGTAGTTCTGTGTTTTATGTTCAAAAAGTTGTAAACATCTGGTTCAAAACATCTGTGAAAGTGTTATCTCAAGATATTATTGTGTGTGCGAAAAGATTTTAAAATTTTTTTGCTGGACTGATCATAAACCGGTTTTTACAATTTGTGTGTTATTTTGGACCCAAACGTGTAAACAAAGGTAAAATCTGCAGCCAGGAGACTATCAATTAAAGTGTTCATCAATATTATTGCTCATTTAGAAGCATTTTATTTATTAAAATGCTACATTTGTTTGAAACATTATGATCTACTTTGCACAAATGTATCAGAAAAGCGTTTCTATAATATTATGTCTGCAGATCATAAAAAGAACTGGAAATGCCAAGAATGTTTGAGTAAGGAGCCTAAAATGGGCAACACAAACACACCCATTAAACAACAATCTCCTAATAGTAAAAAGGATGATTCCTGTAGTATGAATGTGACGCTGCGGGGTCGTACACAGGAGAGGCAAAAATCTTCGGTCATGTCAGTGTCAACTTCCAACACCTTGGATATACCTTCTAGTGATCTGACGAATGAACTTAAAATGTTACGCCAAGATTTAAAGGAGATGCGTAACGATATGCAAGAGTTTAGGACTACTATCTCCAGTCTCCTTGCTGCCATTACCGCCTGCAACCTACGACTCGACTCATTTGAGGCTCGAATGGATGTGGTCGAAAATAGCCATCAGTGCAATTCACCCAGCGACACCTCTCTTCTTGAAAATACAATCGGGGAATTAAAACTGGAGATCAATGATCGAGATCAGGAGTTATTACGTAATGACATCGAGATCTCTGGGGTACCTGAAGAACAAAATGAGCGCTGCATACATCTTGTTTTAGCCATAGTGAATAAGCTAGGTGTGACTTTGGAGGAGAAGGACGTTGTTAGTGTAGAGCGTTTGGGACACATACGTCGCGAGCTGGGTGAAAATACTCGGCCGCGGCCTATTGTAGTACGACTGGCACGTCGCACTCAACGCGATAATCTATTGGCGGCAGCTCGTGTTCGTCGGGGCACTACTACTGCTGGTTTGGGACTTAATTCCAGCGTGAGCTCATTTTATGTTAATGAAAGACTGACTAAACATAATCGTCAGCTCTTCTACAAGGCACGTTTAGAAGCAAAACGTATGCATTGGAAATACGTATGGACCCGAGAAGGAAAGCTTTTCATACGAAAAAATAACGGTGAGCCCCGATATCGACTGCGAATTGAGAGCGACATACCTAAAATTTTTGGGTATTAAAATTGTTCGGTGGTAAACATAGCTATTTTAATTTTTTTAATAATAATTTATTAAGTTTAGTTTACCTGGTAAATGCATGTAACTTTTATTGCATTATACAGGCTTTAAGTATTTCTGGTTGGTTGTTTTTGCTATTTGAATATATACGAATACTTTTATTAACATATGACGAAAATGTCATTATCTTAAAGCAGTTTTTTTATATTTTAAAATTTCTTAATCTTTATTTATATAAAATATTAATTGTTCAATTTATTTTCCTTTTTTGTAGGTTAAGTTTTTTGTATAACTATTTTCACGCGCTTGAAATAATTTTTTTGGGTGTTGCCCTTAGTTTTGTTATTTCAAGTTGTAAGTATTTTTATTATATTTTGCAATTATCTATCGACGTTTTAATAAGATTTACGAATCCATCATTATTATTAATGTTATCTATGCCTGTCTGTTTAATTCCAAAGCATAAATCAATCACACTTAATTACTTTGATCACTTGCACTTAACACCCGTCAAACAACAGTTTAGTAAGATAATTGATCTTATATCAGGCCTTTGAATCTTTCCCTCGGTAAGCGTCATGCTACTCTTTTGTGTAATGTTATAGGACATTGTAAGTATAATGAGATTACATTAGCATTTGTTTTAAAATTTATTAAAAATGATTCAATGTCTATAGGGTTTTTAAACGCTGGTTCATTAGGAACGAATCATGACGAGTTCCTTAGCGCAATTTCACGATTTGATATGGATATCTTGGCCATTAATGAAACCTGGCTAAAAGTCGGGGAGGAGCAACGTGCACCATCTCCGTCTGGGTACCGATTGCTCCATATACCCCGATCGCTGAAAATACGTAATCGCGGAGGTGGAGTTTGATTTTATGTAAAACAAGGAATCAGTATTCGCAAGATTACGCATCCTTCAAATAATCTGGTAGAACAAATGTGGTTAGGGTTTAGTGTAAATAGTGCCAAGGTGGCGATTGGTACAGCGTATCGACCCCCTTGGTTCAGTGTTGATATTTTTATTGATGCGCTAACGGAATCTGTTTCTTCGTTTGGTACTTACGAACATATCATATTGCTCGGTGACTTCAACATAGACCTCTTACATTCACAAAAACCAAATGCACAAAAAATACAAAACTTCTTTAATTATATGAATCTCGTTCAGTTTGTAAACCAGCCGACCCATTTTACTGACAGGAGTGAAACGTTAATCGACATAATTTGTTCTAATATGACTGTGCATAATGTTTCCGTGAATTACATTCCTGAACTCTCTAGCCACGCGCTGTTAACTTGTAAATTAAACTTTAAAAAAGTTAAACGTGACCCTAAAATGATTACTTACAGGCCTTTAAAAGACATGGATATGGTAAGTTTTAATTTTGACTTGAATTCCATAGAATGGGAGGCAACGCTTGAAGGTGACGTAAATACCATGGTTGAAAATTTTGGGAAAATAATACAACAACTTTTTAATCATCATGCCCCTATTCGATCATTTCTCTTAAACAAAAAGTCCTTTCCTTGGATCACGTACAATATAAGAGAAATGATGAACTTACGTGACAAGGCTTACGTTAGAAGTAAAACGACCAAACTGGAAGTCCATAGGATATATTACAAGGACTTAAAAAAACATGGTAAATTCAGCGATTCAAAGCGAAAAGACTGCATATTTCAAACATTACATTAATTTAACCAAAAATTCTCAAGTTTTATGGAAAAATATTAAACAGAGTGTAGCCAATTTCAAGAAAAATCACTGTGAAACTTCTATAGATTAACCTATTCTCCCGATGATTTAAATAAACAATTTCTTCAACTTCCCGGTAACGGTGACAACAGTATCCATTTATCAATTTTAACTAAATATGAGTTTGATAGGTTCGGGCCCTTTAATTTTAATCTCAAGACTGTTGATGAAATAACGGTCTTAAAAGTAATAAAGTCTTTTAAAACAAATGCACAGGGTGATGATGGCATTACACTTAATATGATCTTACATACTTTGCCACGAACTCTTTCAGTTATTATTAAAATAGTTAATAAGTCTATATTAAAAGGAATTGTACCTAATCAGTGGAAGGTAGCGTCGGTTAAACTTATTCCCAAAAAACTTAATCCTAGTGATATTAAAGACTTCCGCCTAATAAGTATCTTGCCGTTTTTGTCCAAAATCTTGGAAAAGGTTGTTTGTTTGCAAATGACAGAATACCTAGAGCAAAATAAGATATTGCCAGCAAAACAATCAGGCTTCAGGAAATCCCATAGTACTGCTACAACATTGATTGATGTAGTGGACGATATCTTAACAGCACAAGACGCTGGGAAGGGCACTTTGTTAGTGTTACTAGACTTTTCCCGTGCCTTTGACGCAATCAATATAACATTGCTCTTGTCTAAATTGGCGTACTATGGGTTTGGACATTCCACACTCAGGTGGTTTTCAAGCTATTTAAGTAATCGTCTACAATACGTCAAATTGCATCTCGAAAATGGTTCCACAATAGTGTCTTCCACTATGCCGGTAAATAGAGGTGTTCCGCAGGGTTCGATTCTGGGCCCTATGCTATTTATTCTTTATATTGCTGACATAATAAAAACAAGTAAACACACTAATTTTCATTTATATGCTGACGATGTTCAATTGTACATGTCTTTTAAACCAAGCGATACCCGGTCAGCAATAACTAAAATAAATGATGATTTAAATCATATTTCAATTTGGTGTAAGCAAAACCAACTTGTTTTGAACCCAAATAAATCCAAATTCATGTTACTCGGAACGACTAAGCAAATAGATAAGATTCTAGCTTATACTCCGACGATCTCCATTGACGGTAACTCTTTAGAACGAGTGTTAGAAGCTCGTAATCTGGGCCTGCTGATGGATGGGAAATTGCGTTTTGAAGGACATATCTTGGAAACTTTGCGTAATTGTTTTTATAGACTTAAGGTCTTGTATCGGATTCGCGAGTATCTGACGGTGGACATGCGCATCAGGTTATGTGAAACACTTATTTTATCTAAACTATCCTACGCTGATACAGTTTTCGGTGAATGTTTGTATACAAGAACGCAAAAAATAATCCAACGGATACAGAATGCCTGCGCACGTTTTTGTTTTCCCATTCCTAAACGCTCACATGTTACACCGTTTTTAAATCGTCACGACCTGATGAACATGTCCACTCGAAGAAGGCTTCATCTCGCCTCGCTGCTTTTTGGAATTATAAAAACCGAAAAACCGAAATACTTATTCGAAAAACTTAAATTTTCTCAGCGCTCTGTTAGGACGGCACCTCGTCTTGTTTACCCACAGTCTCAAACGGCTGCCTTTAGGGGTAGTTTCCGGTTCGCAGCAACAAAGTGCTGGAATGACATCCCACCCCCTATAAGAAATTTATTATCTATTCATTCCTTTTAAGTTAAAATTAAAAGAGTTCTTGCTTTCAAAGCAAAAATCTGGCACTTGAGGTGTTGTTGTTGAGAAGTTTAGTTTATTAATTATTTTATTTTTTGATTATTTTTTATTTTTATTTTTTCGAAAAAAAAATTTATTGTTCCAAATACACTTTTATAATTCCAATCGCTCATACAAATCACACACGCACGCACAGACAAATAAAATACACACACGAATAAAATACACACACGAATAAAATACACACAGACAGGCATGTCCAAAAATGAACATGCAAATGTTGTTATGTTTATTCATAATCTTTTATTGTTAAATTTGTTCTTGTTTATTATTTATTGTTAAATTATTATTGTTATTATTACTGTCATCGTCGTCATCTATCGATCTTACCAGGCTCCACTGAAAACCAGCAATCGCGAAATTTTTTCGCAATGTAATGCTAAGTGGGTGACCTTTTTGGTGCATTGACTGATACTTTTTCATTGTTTTGTTATTTATGTTGTTTTTTTTTTTTGTACCAAATAAACGTTTCTTTCTTTCTTTCTTTCTACTGTAATTCCCAGAAATACAGCAGTTATACGCAGAAATACGTTATTTAATATTAAACTAAAACTTTTCCTTCTTATACTGGGAAGGGTGAAAAGAATACATCTGGTTTTTTTGGCATTTAATACCATATTATTAATAGTGAACCAGTGGAGGATATGTGAAAGTGCACTATTCACGTCGTCATAATTTAATACGTTTCGGTCAACTTTAAAAATAAGCGATGTATCGTCAGCAAACAGTACAAAATCACACCACCCACTGGCATAAAAGGGGAGATCATTAATATATACTAAAAATAATAATGGGCCCAAGATTGACCCTTGTGGGACTCCCATTTTCATCTGGGACCCAGCGGAATTAACATCATTTATAGATACTTTTTGAATTCTATTACTAAGGTAAGAGGCAATGAGATTGAGGGCGATGCCACGAATGCCATAATATTCTAGCTTTTGAAGGAGAGTTTTATGGTCTACGCAGTCGAAGGCTTTTGAAAGGTCACAAAAGACACCTATTGCATCTTGTAACCTTTCCCAGGCGTTATAAATATGTTTGACAAGTGCGACGCCCGCATCTGTTGTCGATCTGCCTTTAGTGAATCCATATTGCTCATTATGAAAGATTTTGTTCACATTTAAATGAACTAAAAGTTGATTTAATATTAGCTTTTCAAAAACTTTACTAAGAGATGGCAATATGGAAATAGGTCTATAGTTGCCTGGATCATTTTTATCACCACTTTTGTAGACAGGTATTATCTTACTAAATTTCATAAGATCTGGAAATATTCCAGAATCTATGCAGTTATTAAAAATAGAAGCCAAATGTGGTGCAATATATGGCATTATTGTGCTCATTAATTTTATGGACATACCCCACAAATCCTCTGTATTTTTAAGATTAATAGAATTCAAAACTTTTATAATATCATAAGTATGTACGTGATTAAATTTAAATGTGTGTAGGCAAGAGGTAACATTATTTCTTAAAACATTAATTGCGTCTGCGGGAGATGATTTTAATGTACGTGTGACATTAACCGCAATGTCTGAAAAATAGCTTTCGAAACTACTCGCAATTTCGTTATCTGATATTATGGGAGTATTACTTATAACTAGTTTTATAGGTTCCCTGAATATCTTGGTTCTTCCAGATATACGGGTAATGATGTCCTATGTGGCTTTAGTTCTATTGTTTGAATTTATTATGCTATTTCTTATATAAATAGATTTTGCCTGAATACAGACTTTTTTAAATATTTTTGAAAACGTTTGTACCCGTTTATGGAAGTTAGGATCGTGATTCCACTGCCTCATACTATATAATTCATACAATGAATGCCTACTTTTATATATACCCACTGTTGCCCAGTCACTAAATTTTAATTTTGAATTCTTAACAATTGTGCGCGATTTAAAAGTATCATTATAAGAAGATATGAGAAAGTCAACCATTGATCTATAAGAATCATTAGGTTATTGACTCCTATATCTTTATTTAACATATGATGTGCCACTTTATCTCTAAAAGCATTTATTCTATTAGTAGTGACTGGTCTACACTTGATCTTAAATTTGCTTGTATTAGCTTTTTCATTTATTGAAAATTTTTGTCCAAAGTGATCCGAGCTCAGATGATTTATAATATCTTTATCATATACATCATTGTGACAGAATACATTATCTATACATGAGAAGGATAAGTTAGTAACACGAGTTGGTACATGAAAAAGATTTTTAAGTTCAAATGAATTAAATAAATTTAAAAGTCGTTTACTGAGTTGTGTTACTTGTAATAAATCCACATTAAAATCTCCACAAACTATTAATGATTTACTACTTGAAGATCGTTTTTTGAGAACATCATCCATTACACACTCAAACTGATCGATGTATAAATAAATATAGTATCCAGATAGTTGAAGTTAATAGCGTATTGACCGATGATTAAGTGTAATGTAATAGTAAATCAATCTTACCTACATTCTATATTTAGTAATCAAATTGACCATACATGGTTTCAGTAGTAATAACTCTTCTTTATGATTAATTGTAATTTTACAATTATTATAATCGTCAGTATCTTGATTTTTTTTAAACAATCAGCTGTGACTTACGTAACAAGCCAGTAAAAATAATATTTACAAAATAATTACACGAGACTTAATTTTTAAATTGTTTTTATAGTGCTAATCTCTGCACTTAAGATTGAACATTAAAATGTGTAGAAAAAGTACGAAAAGATTGTCGCCGCTGTGGGAATCGAACCCACGTCTTCGGCATTCGCGGCGTGACGCTTTAATCACTAAGCTAAACGGATGCTTGTCACACCCGACGAAAATTTTAACGTCTTTTATCTACATTATTTTTGTAGCATTTTCTACATATTTTAGTGACACTTAATTTATAGACATGAAATGAAATGAATATATTCAACGAGATGGGCTCACCTATGAGCCGCCTCACGAACTTCTGGAAGGCACCATAGTCCGGGGAGCGTTTGAGAACGTTCTCGACCCTGGACAGCGCTCTTAATCCAGTGGAAAGTGGCAAGTACTCAGTCTCTCGTTGCAGGTAGCTCACCAGCCTAGGGCACAAACACGAGTAATATCATCGACGGTTCGGTTAAAGTGGTAGCTTAGTCATAGATTTTAGCGTCATGCGTGTCTTTACAACCGCGACAACGTTAACACACGTCTAACGCTACTTGCCAATAATCATAAAAAAATATAAAACGTTAAAAAATCCATAGTTAAAAAAATATATTTTTCAAACAAACTAATTTAATAAAAAAAAGAAACAAAGAGATTCTTTTTTATTCGATGCCGCAGCGTCACACTACAAATCTCTTCTTCTAACAGTATGTTTTATCTCTTTCAAATTCATTCAACCCCTTCATATGCTTTGTGACCTTTACAAATGAATTTACGTTTTATACGTATGGGTGTTCTAAAATTTTTTGTTTTGGAAAATTTTATAACTCGGTAAATATTGATGTTTAAAGAATGTAAATGTTTAATACAATTATAAAAAGTTATCCTCTATATGTGTGTTCATTTATTGTCGCGGTGGTAACGACACGCTGTATATACCGTTCGATTTTTGGACCCATCGAATCATCCCAATAGATTTCGTAGCTTTCGACTTTGGATCTCAACTTAGTCGTCCGCAATTTCTTATAGTACAGAGTTGGAATAATAGCACAGTAATGTTTTTCCTATAATTTCATCATTCTTTATAATATCATCGTAACTTTAACTGTTCATTAAAATAATTAAATTAATCCGATATATATCCGATGACTGTACAGCCTTTGGGTGGAGAAACTCGGACCAAAATAGATAATGTGACGTCACTCACTGCAAGGCGGTGGAGTAGTCCAGTTGGTTGGTCCAGGCCAGCTCGAAGGCGTCCGATAGAAGCTGGACCCGCCCCAGCACAGGCACCTCGGTATACTGGGCGCCGGTCATGGTGTCCACCAGCAGCTGCCAGTTTTGAGGGTCGTAGTTGACACGGTATGGAGCTGTGAGGAGATGGGCCAGAGGACAAATGAGGAGATGTGCCAAGGGAACTAATCACTTTGCATCAGCTGTTACGTTAATGGTCTGACTCGTCTGTTTAGGTATCGTGTACCATGCTTCCGTAAATGGATTCTTGTACTTTGAATTTATATTATTAACGATAGTTATGCCTGGGAATGAGATGATCGTTCTCAAGCTGTTTCAAAAAAATTACTTTAATATTTTGAGCAAAGAGTTTCTAACGCCTGTTTCTATTTCTTTAGAGGAATATCGTTAACAAAACGGTGGTAGATTTAAAAAAAAAATGACTATTAATAGATGTATAGTTCATAATGAATAAATGATTTGATTTGATTTGCATTTCGTATTATGAGTGAGGGGTTTGATGTCCGCTCTTATATAGGTTAGCAAACATGATCGTGATTACTATGCATTAAACGATGCAACCTTGTTGAGAGCCGCATTAGGAGTTTCACTTGAAAAAAGAACGGTGAATCGCTCACCGATCATGTCCTGGTTGAAGAGCACCCACTGGTGGGGCGCGGCGCCGTGCTCGAAGCGGTGCAGCGCCGCGACGCCCTCGCCCGCCGCCAGCCACTGCAGCGGCCGCGAACCCTGGACCCCCTCGCCGCGGCAGAGCACGCTCAGCGGCACCCACCACGAGGCGCCCGAGGGGCTCCTCGCGCCCAGCGCCAGGTACCGCTTCTGAGGTCACTCGCCCTCACTTAGTAACCTCCTGTGATACCTCCTGATTACACATTACTAAACGAAACTAGCTTTACCGAGCGCTTTCCCCACGAGCCGTTGCATTGCGTAGCGAAAGTGACTTACTAGAGTTAGTTTAATCTACAAGTCGTTATGAAAGTTACGAAGCTGTGTGAGTAACGGCCTTTCGTTGAATATAGGAACCGGACATAAGAAGAGGAAGAAGAATAAACATAAGAAACTAGACCACGCCTTTGCGGTCCACACCCTACCTGTGAAAAGTTGCCAAGCGAGCAGGCGGTTCACCTGATGTCAAGTGAATAACGCCACCCATGAACATCTGCTACATCCGAGGGTTGCAGATGCGTTGGCAGCCTTTTGAAAATTGGGCTCCAGCCACCTCACACACCAGACGAAACGCGAAAGTATCATACTTCCACTTCACGCCGTTATTTTGTGAGGTCGTGGTACTTACCCGGACGAGCCTGCCCATCCGTGCAACAGCCGAGGCCCTACATTGCCCACCTGCGAGATGGTGAGCGACTTGTCCCCGTAGTCCCTGGTGACGGTGAGCAGCGGGTAGCCGGTCTGCGTGGTCCAGGTGTCCATGATCTCCTTCACCGTGACGTTCCTCGTCAGGCCGCCGTGGCGCTCGCTCGCCGCCGTCAGCTCGTTCCACAGGTCATCCTGCTCCGCGTTCGAATACGAATGCTTCACCAGGTAGCTGGAAGCGACGCGGGAAATACAAATATTTCGGCAAACTTTTATATATTGCACTAGCTGCTGCCCGCGACTACGTCTGCGTAAAATAGGCTGAAGACAGAAAGACAGATATTCATAAAAAAGTAAAGTATACCTATACATGTCCAACTGCTGGGCAAAGGCCTCCTCTATACAGAGGGTATCAGGGCATAGTCCACCACGCGGCCCCACTGCGGATTGGCGGACTTCACATATCTTCGAAATATATTTTTTTGTTATTATTATTTCGAAATTATGCAGGTTTCCTCACGATGTTTTCCTTCACCGCGGAGCACGTGATAAGTCAGCACTTAAAGTTAAAAACTTCATTTGTGCCGGCACCGGGGATCGAACTCAGGTTGCTCGAGTATACATAAAAATATGTATATAAATTAATACAGCTTGTGTCGTATTCTGACGTATAAGCTATATTATCATTGCGTTTGCATCAAAGAGTAACAAACATCCATCCATACGTACATACAAACTTTCGCGTTTATAATATTAGTAGGGATATAAAGTAAAAAGTATCAACCTATACATGTTCCACAGCTGGACAAAGGCCTCCTTTGTACAGAGGTTAGGTTATAGGTTCAGAGCATGGTCCACCACGGGGCCCCAATGCACATTGACGGACTTCACATATCTTCGAAAACATTTTTTTAATTATTGTTACGAAAATATGCAGGTTTTATCACGAGCGCCCGGACATTGAGCTATTACGGCTCTTTACTTACTTTAGCAAACTTTTATATATTACACGTGATAACTCCGTGGTGCTTTTTCCAAAGGTTTTGGCTCCGGGGATTCGAATCCCACGCGAGACAACTATTTGTTTGACCCACAAGTAATTGTTTCGGATCTAGATGTTTGTCTACGTGAAATCCATGTATGCAAAACGTCCTTACAGCTCAAAATAATGTTATATGTAAGGGGGTAATCATCCTCAAGAATTGCAAATACTTATTGGTTTTATCAAACTGTTTATTAGCGTCTACTAATAAGATGTCAAGAGCAAAAATAAGCTTAGACTGAAAGTGTAAAACATGACAATCCTATGGATGTGACTTTACTAAATATTCTAAACTAAACGTTACCGAAGCTTAATTTTATAAGATACTAGCGGACCTCACAGACGTTGTCCTGTACACACGACTTAAATCCGACAACTAATTAACAAAACAAAAAACATGTAGTGGACCGAATTGTGAATATAAAGTATAAACCACTCTCAAATCAACGTGATGACCCAAAAAAAAATCATTAAAATCAGCCGTTTAGAAGGAGTACAGTGACATACACATGTACAGAAAAATTATATATATAAAGACTTTTTTTTGTTTGCCTAGTGACTCGGCAAACGTTTTGCCATGATTTTTAAAAATAAAATAAAATTAGCACGAGCCACCCTTAACACTACATTAGTTATAAACGTATCTCATAACTGCTGAATATACATTTAAAATTACATCGAAAACAGTCAAGCCGTTCTGGATGAGTATAAAAACTAAAACTGTGACACAATAATTTTATATTTTAAAACTCTACCAGCGGTGGTAGAGTTTTTGACTATCAACAAGTTAGTGTAATGCTTCTATATTGAACAAAGATATTTGACCTTGACTCTATATGTTAGATATAAAAAAGATTATCTTACTTGTGGATGGCCTCCCTGAAGACGGCATCGCCGAGGAACATGACCATCATGCGAATTATAGTCGAGCCTTTGCGGTACGAAATCTCGTCGAAGATCTCCGAAATGCGTTTCGGATCGTCGATCTGAACGGATACCTGATAATAAAACATAATAATATAGACAACAGAATTCTTTTCGTACTTTTTCTACACATTTTAATGTTCAATCTTAAGTGCAAAGATTAGCACTATAAACAATTTAAATTTCTAAAAAGCAATGGCGACGTCTCTCGTTCGAATTAGCGTTGTAAACCGATATTCGAAATTGTTTGCATGCTGGAAAGGATATAACATTCGATTCCCACAACGGCGACAATCTTTTCGTACTTTTGTTTGTTAAAACGAAACACACACTGGTGGTCATTTTGTAAATTAATGATGACAACTTGTGGTATTTTGAAGTCGCAAAACTCTACCAAAAAAATATCTTAAGAAGTGTTTTGTATAGAGAAATGTAAGACATATCTACATATAAGAAGTCAGTTCTTGTTCAAGCCAGCTTCGCCCGGCATTTTGTTTCTTTTTTTATGTAGGAAGGTGGTAAGCATTAGGCTGGCGTTTCACCTGATGTTGACCTCCACCCATGGACATTAGCAACACCCGTAAGGTTTGATCCGTTGCCATTTAAATAACTTTTAATAATCTGGCCTCCGGCTACCTCACTCACCAGGCGAAACGCAGAAGTGTAACACTTCTACTTTACGCCGGTCTTCTGTGAGGTCGTGGTACTTACCCCGATAGACCTGCCCATTCGTGCAACAGCGAAAACTGTTGATGGGCCTACCACAGCTAGTTGTGTTTGTAAAGTTGTGATTTACGATAACGTTATTTGCGTTCGGATAGTCGTGTAGAAGCATCTCATAAAAGTATTGAGATATTGGTAGACTAACATCGTAATGGCAACAATTAACAAATACCTCAAAAATTTACAACATACTCGTATTATAAAGTATGTTTTTTTTTCGTTTTTTTTTCTTTAAGAATCGATATATTCTTAAAGAAAAAAAAAACGTTCGTTGATAAACTTGAAAAGTGAAGACCTGCTTATAATTTGTATAAAAGAAAACAAAAAATTTCTAGCCGCTGCGGGAATCACATATCTATAAACTTTAATGTTTCATCACAGGCGCATCATCATCATCACCATCGTCATTTCAGCCTGTTCGAGTCCACTGCTGAACATAGGCCTCCCCCACAGACTGGCACGAAGTACCATCGACTTCTCGCACATTTGCACAGGTCACCCCATCTAGTGGGGGGTTCACACCGGACAAGCGAATGGATTGGCACTATAAATATTCAAATAGCAACACCTGAAATGAAAAGCAGAGACGTGTGCGCACGTTTTCATTTAAACGTATACTAGCTTGCCCGCGCAACATAGTCTGCGCCAATTCTACCGGGTCCATACGTTTCTACTTTTAGCATAGTGCCATCTATCGGATACTTACTCAGCCGATAAATTTATCTTACACCGCCATCTGTTAGAATCTTATGGGACTCAAGGATAGCTCTTTGTCATCTAATAAACAAATAATTTGCAATAACAAATATTGAGATCAATAATTAAGATAAAAACTACTCTATCTCCCGAGTTGGACCAAATTACAAATGCTTACAAAAATTGATAAAAATTGGTTCGGTAGTTTCGGAGTTTATCGCGAACATACATCGTGACACGAAATTTTCATATATATGTATGGAAGATAATGAAACAACGTACCGGGTGCGAGGACTCCAGGGCGTCCAGGCTGAGCACGGAGAGCACGTTGTCCACGGCGTAGCCCCTGTCCGCGTGCCACGCGGGCTCCACGGCGTCCACGCCCACCGACGCCGCGAACGTGGCGAAGCCCTCGTTCAGCCAGAGGTCCGACCACCACTTCATGGTGACCAGGTTGCCGAACCACTGGTGGGCCAGCTCGTGCGCTATCACCTGCCGCGAGAGGATACCGTCGCTACGAATCATGTTTCGATAAAGATCACGCGTGTTCATACTGCGCGGCGTTATAAAGTTTGATGGGCTTTACATTGAATGAAATGAAATGAAACGAGATACGCTTTATTGTACACCAGACAAAATTACAAAAGTAACAAACAACTACATAATGGTACAATTAAATTATATGAAATATATAAGTGAATGTTACAGATGATGAAGAACGTATGATACGGAGTGATAGCAGTCTATAGGGTTGCAATCTAAATACACCAATTGGCGTAAATTGCGTGCCTCAGTTTCAGTTTCATACCTAACTCGTATTTCTTATAATATCCATTAGTTATTGGTATTTACACATACATATATACATATGTAAAACCAAAAATTTGTAAAGAAGTTCTCAAATATAATATCCCTCTTAACACGCAACCTATTCAGGTAACCAATCCAACTACCATCAATTCAAGAGAAATTAACAATAATAATACCCGACACAATAATCCAAACCCTTTGTATAGGCTCCACACTACTTTGTGGTTATTCTTATAATAGTGATAATCTAAAATGTACGAAAACGTGCTAAAATATAGAATAATATACCCGTTCCCCTTTTCCTATAATATCGATAATCTGAATCGTACAAATACGTGCCGAAGTCAACTACACAATAATTCGCCCGTACTCCTTCCGCGGGGCATCCCCGAAACAAGTGACACCCACCTCGGCGACCCTCTCCTTGTTGAGAAACGACGACTGCGCCCCGTCGTAGAGCAGCGCCGTCTCGCGGTAGGTGACCAGTCCCCAGTTCTCCATGGCGCCCGCGCTGAAGTCCGGTATGGCGATCATGTCCTGCTTCGGCAGCGGGAAGCTCACGTTGAACCAGCGCTCGAAGTGGGAGAGCACGCGGGGGCCTATGTTCGCCGCGTACGCCGTCTGACCAGATAGTAGTACATGTTACCAACGGGGGTCTTCAATAACCTACAGGGCACGCTAAAAGTTAGGCCGTTACAAACGGCCCTCTTCTATACCCTCTGTAACCTACATAGGTCACGCTAAAACTGGCCAATCACATGAACAATATATAAAAAAGTAATTAACAACATTTGAAAATGGAACTCTTCTAACGGCGGTAAAAAGAGTCATCAAAATCGATTCACTCGGTTGAAAGTTCTGAGGTAAATAACATTAAAAAAAATAAAATCGAATTCAAAACGTTCCTCCTTTTTTGAAGTCGGTTGAAAATGGAACTCTTCGGCTGTAGAATGCACTTTGTTCCATATGACCGACAATTCTGAAAGTTACGGAGGAGTGGCACAAATGTTTTCTAAATTGGTTAAGTCGTATGAAATAGTGCATTTGCTCAAAGGGAGAATATCTTGAGAAACGATAAATTCATTTTGACCTTCAATAGTGCTTTTTTCTTATTCATTCCGGAAACTTCTAGTGCGCCTCACGCGACTATCTGTAGATTTGGTTATTGGAGACAGAATTTTTAAAGGAATAATAATATAGAATTTTGACTTACGTAAAGATTTTAGCGTAATACTTATTATGGACCTTATGTCGAACGCCTATCGCCGGTAACCAAATATACAGATTGTGATGGGCCGTAAGATTAAACTGTTTTTCCGAAATTATTGAGGTTATAATTCCTAATTTTATTTCCCAAAGTTTCTAAACCTTTTCACAGTCATAGCCACGTGACAGACCATAGTCCGTGCTACCTTTAGTTTTTAAATTATTAATTTTGTATAGATCTGCGCAGGCGCTAATTGCATCATCTTGTAGTAGTGATTCGTTTGGGTCTAGATTTAATTTTATTAATAATAGGGTCCTATCAAAGTCATCTGCTCACATGTTACTTTTCTAATGCTTGGATGATTTTAACCTGGGGACATCTTGATGTGTTTCACGATGGAATTTCAGTTATTTTTCATTGCGAAAAGCATTGTTAAGTATTTAGACTTCATTTCCTAATGTAGGGCTATGTCAGATTGGTCGTTATAAGCCGTATCAGGGACCACATGGTACATAAACTGAAATAAGGCAGCAATAAGAAAGGTCGGCAGTACTGTTAATCCCGACGAGATTCCCGAGACCCAGTATGGCGTCTAACCTGGTCTATGGCGTCTTCCCTCGCCCATATCCTGAACTTGGTGTTGGAGAGCCGAGGCGGGCTCTCGACGTGCGCGAACTTGGAGACCACGAAGGCCACCAGGTAAGTGGACATCGGCACAGAGTTCTCGAACTGGTCCCACACGAAATGAGATATGTCATTCCTGGACAGAAACACACTCTTTGGAGGACGATCCTATAGGCCTTTAGGATCTCTAAAGGAGTCACGAATGTTATATAACTATGTCCCATGCTATATTAGTTGCTATGACTTATAGAGAGACTAGACTTCGATACCTTTCTCTTAAAGTAAAAGGCTGGAAAAGCTCTTTACTTGTATGCAATAATAAAAAGGAGCCCCAGCTACTCTTCGGCCCGTATACTATCTCGATGACAAAAATCAGGTTGAACACGTTACCCTTAACTGGGTGAAAAAGCGCAAATCAACAAAGTATTTTCGTTATTAGTAGGCATCTTATTATGTTATACGCACATTATTTTTATATTATAATCATCTATATCGTGTGTTTGTAAGTTTTTGAGAAAACATCTTCGATAGATGTAAAATAGAGAAAACGCACGAATCATAATAAAACTTACTTGAACTTCTTTCCGATCTTCTCCCACGGCCAGACGTTCTCAAGGGCGCTGGAAAAGACGTAGGTATAGATAACATAAGTAACAAATGATAGGACAAAAATGCTTTTCCACTCAACCGTTAAAGTATAACCATTGAGGCAATGCAACAGATTTCATAGCGCCAAGCTCAGTGGGTTATGTTTACAAGAAATTTTTTTACCTAATATTTGTGTATAATGCGGGATCATTGCGTATATTTAATAAGTGTTGTATTCGCGTAATTTAAGAAGCTAACGATATGTGTGAAAAATATCATTTATTGAATAAATTAAAGAGATTTCAAGGCTGTTTTATTATTTTACTTTTTTTTAATGTGAGAAATGGACAACCGAGCAGGCTGTTCCGTCTTCTCATCTGATTAATAAATCCCCATGCCATCTGCAACACTTGAAGGGACAAAAAAAACCACTTATCGGACAAAACGCAGAGGAATTATATTTCCACCTCACGCCACTTTTTAGCCCCGGCAGTTCGCAGGATGTGTGTAAACTTCCATTCAACGTCAGAAACGGATGAGTGACCGCGAAGTTTTGCTATTTGCAATTAGCACGAATTTAACCAATTCTTTCTTCCTACTTACTTCTCATTGGAGGAGTTGAATAAGGGCATATTGGATACGGCCGTGTAGTCCCTATGGTGGCCTATGTTGAGGCGAAATGTCGCCTTGTATAGGGGCTCGTCGAAGCAGGGGAATCCTTTGCGCGCGTAGGTCGCCTCGAACTGCGTCGCTATCAGATACCTGGTGGACAATTATGGGAAAATATAAATTAAACAAAAATCTTATCGATCACGTTTTAGTCTCGCTATTGTATTCGTCATGTTACACTACGTTTGTATACAATAAAAGGTAATCCAGAAAAACAATGATGACAACTTCTACCTTAAATCTAGTAAATGTGGTTCTAAATAAGGATTTTATTTTAATACAACCCACTCTTGTAAAGTAATAGTTAACAGACCATCGACTTATTGCAGGTGCTACTACGATTAATTTACTCTAAACTACGTATAAGCGCCTATCATAATTTATTAGCAAATTATCAATTTTGAGGTAAAGTTATTTTTTGGCGGAAACAGATTACTTTCATTGCTGAATATTAAAAAAAACGACAGCTTTAAATATAAAACAAAACTGAATTCTAAATGTAGATCGTAATATATTTAGAAATTTTAAATGACTACTTTTTACATTGGGCTAGGTCATGGCCCCGTATAAAAGCGGTCATCATATTCTCATGCGTCTGCAATAACCGAACCAGTACAGACGTATATAGAGTATTTATAATGAAACGAGTGCCAGTACTCACTCTTTAGCCTTGATCTTCTTATTGACGTACGTGCTTATGTACACACCGTCCAACCCAGTCTGCAGGTTTCCGTAGAAGGGTATCCTCAGCAGATAATCGGCGCCCTCCGCTAGATTGCTCTCCAGATTGATGGTGAGGAAGTTGTAGGTGTCGTTCAGTTCGAGGCCGAGTACGCTGGGCGCGTCACTTGGGCCCAGCAACGTGACCTTGTCCTCCGCCACGGTGAAGTCCTGGGCGTGCAGGACTATCTTGGACGTGGCACTTTTGACGTTCAGCTGCGAAGGATAGCTTGATTGGTTATCGATCGACGAAACGTGATTGGCGGAATGTGAGAGAAGGAGAACTTTGAAGATTTGTTCAGCATTGGGCCAGCGTAGCGAGCTTCATTATTTTCAATCGACTTCAATAGTAGAAGGTTCTCAATTCGATTTTGTTACCTCAGAACTTTTGACCGAGTGAAACGATTTCGATGATTCTTTTTTATTTTTATTTCTAATCTGGCGCTTCCCACGTGGTCCCATGTTAATTTAATTGGCTATTGGATCTTGGGCTCCGGAGATACTTAGGGAACTCCTGAGAATCGATTATAAAATGAATACAGAGCGAGATATTTGATATCGGTTTTGTTTTGCGCTAGTAAAAAAATAGTTATTTGTTTTAACTATTATATATTATAATTATGTATCGTTTGAATGCAACAAACAGAAAGTTCAATTATTACTAGCTTAATTTGAGCGATTTTGTCAAGGACAGCAAGCACTGCGATTCACCGACCTACGTCGCTATCTGAGTTTCACCGAGTTTAAATGTACCAATGGATGGATGACAAGCTTGTCACCATTGGCCGGACACGAATAGAATTAAACGCAGGTTTCTGTACATAAAAAAAAACCAAGAACTGGGCAGTGTAGGCCCGGGCCTAAGGCGGCCACATATTAGGGGCGGCCAATCGCGACAAAAAATTCACTGATGATAACAAGATGACGGGCTCTGAGAAACGGGCGGCTGGAAATTACTACATGGGCTGGGGCCTAGGGCGGCCAAGACTAAAAATCCCCAGTGGCGGATCGTTACTTTACCAATAATTTGGTATTGGGAAGAATTAGCGTTCGAAAACGAGCCGCGAAGAGACATAGCTCTCGATTAGACGCGGCGAATTCGAGCGTTATTGTAACACGCCTTGGCGTGACGAATTGACAGCATGAGCGTGACATTTCCTCGCGATCGAGGTTAATGTCACGGTGCACATGTAACACGTTTTATATGTAATTGGCGTTTTGTACAACCTAAATCTGGCATTTTGCTAGGAATTTCCAAATTTTAGTGATTCATTAGTTGATGTCTCGCCATTATGATTTTTCTTTGACATTAGTCTGCTCACAACATAACCAAATCACCGCTTTTTTTTTGCCAGATTGCAAGAAAAAAACGTACAAAAATTTTCTTCGTTCACGAGCCCACAATTTTTCAAGGAATGGAGTCAATGTAATACCCAAAAAATGGAGGAAGTGCATAAAATGCAGTGTGGTTAGAATTAAGCACGTCCCAAATATCTGATACCTTAAAAAAATATAAAGTACTTAAAAATCAATCAACAATAAACTATATGCTATTCACGAAGAAGAGCCACATTAATAAAAAGAAAAAAATACAAGTAAAATTAAACGCGGGAATCGAGTTATCAGTTTACAATGTAAGCATTCATTATAATAAAATATAGTACTTAAATTAACTTACAATAACAATCTGTAATGTAAAAAAAATCCATTATTACGCACGTTAATAGTCAAACAATGATTTTAATTGATTTTTTTTTTTGGCTGGATGAGCCACTGTTGGCCTTAGGGGCCTTTACAGATCCGACGGACTTGAGGTGGCCTGGCGCACGAGGCGCCTAGCCTGAACCTGTGCGTACTATTATTACGCGTTATGGTGACTAAGCTCGAGGGCTCCCGGGGGAGCCTCGGCTCGGGCCGTCACGCTATTATTATCACCAGTTTGGGAGGCCGCCAAGCTCTTAGGGCGCTTTGGTGGGCGCTCCATGGAGTGATACTCAGTACGCGTTTAGCATTCCGATTCGAGGGTGCCCGAGAGGGCCGGACCTCGGCTCGATCGGTAGCTATTATCTGACTGGGTTTTTAATTGATATTATCATTGTCTCTTCAACCTCTCATGACTGGTCAATCAGCCCACAAGCTTGGTCAGATTTAAATAATAACCGGCATAAAACTGCATTTAGCATTTATGACTGTACTTGCGTGTTCTAATAAGGCGACTAGCTTGTTCGAAGTTCTTGTCTTAATAGAATCAACACCCATATTGGACTAGAATGTTTCAATCGATTCCCTCCATATGAATAACTATTAATAACATGTTTAAGAACACAAATAAATTGTCCAATCCGAATAATCTTTGAGCACAAAGTTAGTTTTTTAGCGGTACACATAATTGGTCACATTAATAATATATTCAGACATAAAAAAGTGTTACATAAATACGACTAATATAAGATGAATCAATTAAAACATTGTGGTCTAACATGCGTAGAGATTACTATTAACTTTAAAACGTAGAAAAAGTACGAAAAGATTGTTGCCGCTGTGGGAATCGAACCCACGTCTTCGGCATTCGCGGCCTGACGCTCTAGCCACTGAGCTAAACGGCTGATAGCCACAGCGACGAAAATCTTAACTTAAGTTAGAAAAGTTGAAAATTGTGGTTGTTCATTGTGGTACTTTCAAGTTTTCGCGAAAATATCTTTTTTTAAACACCCAATAGGGACTATAGATCTCAGTATCTATTCAGATAATTAAAATTGGAGTGTCTGTTTGTAATATTAAAATAACCGATTTTTACTAAATGCATGCAATGGATGTATACACGGTACATATACCAAAAAAACAATTTTTGTCTGTCTGTCTGTCTGTTCCGGCTAATCTCTGAAACGGATGTAATAAGGAGTAATTTGGGCTACTTTTATTTTAGATTTTTTTTTATTTTAAATTCCAAGCGGACGAAGGCGCAGGCACAGCTATTCTGATATAAATTTCAACTCGCTAGGTCCACTGATTCCTGAGAAAATCGGTGGTGACACACGGACAGACAGTCGGACAAAATAGTGATCTTATAAGGGTTCCTTATTTTACCCTTTAAGGTACGGAACCCTAAAAATATAGTAGTGTCGGTTAATACACTATTTTCACTGGTTATTTCCATGTACAAAGCTTTGAATATAAAACGGCGTAGAGGCGAAAACATCACAACAAAGATCTCCATCGAAGGCCGATCTACTGGCATTTTTTGCAACCAAATTGCGACAAAAACATTATTGTTTAATTTTTTTTTTATATCGCGCAACAGTTCGCTTTTGCTACCCGCGTGGGCAATATTACAATGGACGGTAAGTGGGTTTGAGGACTGTGGCTCTGAATGGCAGTCGCTATCGATGTCTGGTTGAGGGCGTAGTCAAGCTGTTGAGGCTTTGTGGCGGCCAGTCCTAAGTTCGAATCCTATCCAGGAATACTGTTACGTACCTTAACTATGGTAGCCTATGTTATGCATGTTATCACTACGTAGTATAAGACAAAGTCGTCCCGCTGTCTGTCTGTCCCTATGTATGATAGATCTTTAAAACTACGCAACGGATCTTGATGCGGTTTTTTTTTACTATAGAGTGATTCAAGGGGGAGGTTTATATGTATAATACATTGCACTGTATTGTATTTGTTAAAAGAAATTAAGTTTCATTTACAAAGTGTGTCGTCGAAAGGCAATAGGGAAAACTCAGAGGCCATGACACGCCCCTCCGAGAACGCACGTGGCATATAAATTGCACGACCTTCGAGACTCGTTATTATTTGTGACCGTCATGCAATCTGCAGAGGTGCACTGAATAGTTTGAATCCGGTCCTAGGTTCGAAGCGCGGCGCGAACAGAAAATTAAAAAAAAAATATTGTGTTTCTTCTTTTTTGTTGTTTCCGATACATCGGAAAGAGAAACAAGTAATACATAATTATCTATCAAATATGACCGTTATTTTTATTGAACTCGATTAAAGTTATTTTCAACCGAATAAGACTTAAATTCGGAAATTAACGAATTAAATTATAATTTAATTTCTAATCAGTGTCTTTGATGTAAGCTGTGCTACTTTTAATCGTATTCTGATACTGAACGTTATGTTTAGATCTTCAAGCGTTCGACGTTCCCTGCGTGTTATAGCCTCAGTCAGTCTCGTATATCCAGTAGTGGGGATCAAACCCACACCTTTTGACGCAAGTGGTACACTATCCACGCCATTGGGGTCGGCTGTGCGTAATGAATTGTGATGAACGACGTACAGTGAATGGCTTTTTTTTGGTTGGCGCGTTTGCTTGATCTGTAAACACTGTAATTACTTATAATGACACCCATAATGAATGTATGTCACATAATGTGACCGACGTATTCGAAATTGGGAATTTTCGATCTCGCTGGAATAAATAAATGATAATAGTAAATAGTCCCAAACTAAGCAACGCGTGTACTATAGGTAGTAGATAACTGATAAACTTACTTAAACATACATTTCTTTTGTATATAAATACATATCCTTACTAACATTATAAACGCGAAAGTTTGTATGTATGGATGGATGTTTGTTGCTCTTTCACGCAAATACTACTGAATGGATTTTATTGAAACTTTACAATAATATAGCTTTTATATCAGAATAAGATATAGGCTATAATTTATATACATATTTTATCTATATCTGTCTTTCTGTCTGAATCTTACTACTTCAGCCTTATCTACGCGGACTTAGTCGGGGGCAGCAGCTAGTTATAAATATATAAACACCCAGACGCTGGAAAACCACTATGTTCATCACACAATATTTTACCAGTAGTGGGTACCCTCTGGCGTAAGGGGCAGGGTCACTACCCACACCGACTAAGCCAATCGGATCGGGAATAATCCACACTGTTGCTAACTTACATTTGCTCGGTACGACTCGAAAAAAAAGCTTGTCATGGAAGTGAGGTAACGCGGGAACATAGCTAGCACTCAATGAATAAACGATTTGGATAAATGTACATTGGTCACGTACTAGAGGTGTTATCAACATACCAGTCAAAATTGTATTTTAATTTCACCCGATATTGTATTATAATTTATAATATATTTAAAGCGAAAACGGCGAAACCCACGTCCAACTAATTTCATGTCTTTACGCGATCAAACATTACTAAATAAAACTTTGTTTACGGATTTATCGCGTTTATCGGTCGGAAATTAAAACTGAGCATATCCAACCATTTAAGCATAGCCAACTATTTAGAAACATTTTTGTTATGACTTATCACCCGCTCAGCGGCGTAGGAAAAGTGAGGAAACCGGCACATTTTCGAAATAATGAGAACGACCGCTAATACGCAGTAGCGTGGTGGACTATGCCCTAATACACCCTGTACAGGGTGACTGTTATTTTAATTTACTTCAACCATTTCATCGGTGCTGGCACCTGGATTGGAAAGTAGGTCGAGTATCCATATATTAATAAAAGAAATGAAGCAAAATCTTTGTACCCGTTTTTACGAAAATTGCGCGGGCGGAGTATGAAATTTTATAGTTTGTATAGAGAAGGAGTCCAGAATGTTAATATTTTTTTATTTATGCATAAAAATACATGTAGCCAATAATACAAACATCACACACACTACCTTGTATTTGACACACACATGAATGTATACTCTTTTGTTTATTGTGTATTGTATATGAGAATAGATTAATATCGTTCAAAGTTTTAATTTAAATTAATTATGGTCGAAATATCGACCACTCGTACTAGCGTAATTAAAAGCAATCACGTGCTCAGTACACTAAGAATAAAAGTGTCTTATTGCAGGTAATAAATTAATATGCCAAACAGGAAACACATGGCAACATGTGCGGCCTTTATGCATCTTAAAAAGAGTATGACCGTACTACAATGTAAATATACCCAGCGAGGTCTATCGCCTCGTGCCGTCTTAAAAATATCGGTCAGTGGAAAAAGTATAATGCACAGTTATGATTAACTTCAATTTAATAGTTAATATGAAAATTATTTTTTTCGAAAAGCAACAATTATTAGAAGTAACGGTTTTATTAATAAAATAATTTATATATAAAACGCTCGACCGGTATCAATAAAATTTAAATATGACCTCTCAGTGGTAGAGCCACGCAGTAGCCTCGTCTGTTGCACGTATGGGCAGGCTCGTCCGGGTAAGTACCACGACCTCACAGAACACCGGCGTAAAGTGTGAGTATGATACTTTCGCGTTTCGTCTGTTGAGTGAGGTGGCTGGAGCCCAATTTTCAAAAGGTTCAAAATGCTTTCTGCACGAAGGTTCCCAGGTCGTAACGGTTCCACTGGCACAGCACTATGTACTAGAGAGAAAGCCTATAAAGGCCATAATCGCGGAAGATTGCGTCCAAATGTTCCCGTATCCCCGGTCGATGCGACAGAGACAGGTGCAACGTGGGTTTATAGTGGATACCCGTTTTTTTTGGGACTCCCACATACCCCTGCCGCTCCCCCGATCAAGTGGCCGGGGGTCCATAAAGGATTTTTCCCACGAAACGTCCAAAAAACGTCGTAACGGCTCGGGAAGACCGCCGGCGGCAGCTGGTTGACCACAGAGCGGTTGTGCGAGGAAAATACTTTGAAATAATAAACGAGCTCACCAGTATGTCCGCTACGCCGAAGAAGCTGTAGTTGGTCTTCGGGTCCACGTCGAAAGCGAGCCTCAGGTCGTAGTGCTTCGGCGCCACGTCGCCAGGAAGCAGGTAGCTGGTGCTGGCCAGCTGCACCGCCAGCAGAAGTATTATGCACCGCCCCATCGTCAGTCACTGGAGAGAAGAGCACGGACTTTGGGGATATTTCGAATGGAGGTGGTAAACGAGAAAGCGGTTCACCGCAGCATTCGCGAGCGGGGTTAACCGCGATAGCCCCACGCAACATTTGCAACACTCGTAGGGTTACAGATGCGTTGCCACCTGTTAATAAAGTGGGCCCCGGCCACCTCGATCACCAGACGAAACGTGAAAGTGTCATACTTCCACTTTACGCTGGTCTTCTATGACGTCGTGGTACTAACCCGGACGGACCTTCCCATTCGTGTAACAGCGAACACTATTGCGTGGTCCTAACACAGTATTCAACAAAGCATTCCTTTTTTTGGGTTAAAGGACTAAACCAAAAAAGACTTAACTATTCAAATCACAATCATACATTAAATATTAAAAAAATAATTTATATATAAAACGCTCGACCGGTATCAATAAAAGTTAAATATGACCTCTCGGTGGTAGAGCCACGCAGCAGCCTCGGCTGTTGCACGTTTGGGCAGGCTCGTCCGGGTAAGTACCACGACCTCACAGAAGACCGGCGTAAAGTGGGAGTATGATACTTTCGCGTTTCGTCTGATGAGTGAGGTAGCCGGAGCCCAATTTTCAAAAGGAGCTCAACGCATTTGCAACCTTTGGGTGTAGCGGATGTCCATTGGCGGCGGTATTCACTTAACATCAGGTGAACCGTCTGCTCGCTTGGCAACTTTTCACATTAAAAAAAATGTAAATTACTCTTTACTGGGCTTACATTGTTCACTTTTCAATTTTGCCAAATATTTCAAAAATTTTTGAATAGAATCATGATATAAATATATAGGAAACAGCTATTATACACAATTGAAAAACAAGCCATATTTAGGTATACCTATTTCGACAGATGATCAAATAATTATAATTTACCGTGTCTAAATTAAGACTAACTACAAAATTAAGAATGATTATTTGTTAATACAAGTAAACAACAAAATATTTTCCTCGTCTTTAATTTACCATAAAGTTATCAATTAATTGGTTCGTAGAACAGGGAAGACCAGCTCTAAGATGTTCAGACATGCCAATTATTCGAAAATAAACTTGTAATTACTACGATAAGTCAAGTAAACAACATATGTCGCCTTCAGTTCCCAACTAAGTCAAGGTCAAACAGAAGCAGTAAGAACAGACATTTGCAATTTTATTATGCACGGAAATTTATTAAGCAATCGGTATAACCCACGTAGAATAATGTAATGGCCGAGAGTTTTGTTGTAGAAAGGGGTTAAGTTCGCCTCTGTACCTTTTTTTTCAATCTTAACTTTGTTTTACATTTTACTCTGTGTACAATAAAGAAAGGATTCTCAATCTCGAGAAAATGATAAGTCTTACTGATAACATTTAAGAAGAGAAGCGAACAAACAAACACTAAACTAATAACTAACAATTAAACTGAACTAACGGCGTTCGAACCAAACAGGGTGGGTAGCTGAAGACGCAAGTATCAAGCATTCATCACACAAAAAACTCATAGGCGCACGCCGCCGCGATAAGAACCTAATGTCTTAACAAAGCAAGTCCAAAGACGCGATAACGCAGCATCAATGCTTAACAGTTATGCAAGTATTAAGTTGAGATATTCAAAATCCCGGAACGCGGATTTTTGATTCGTCCCGGGATTTATACAAACAGTGCTAGAACAACAATGTCTTGCACAACGGCTATCCGGGGTAGTCCAAGCTCACCATCAAAAAGTGTACGATATTATTTTAATTAAACAATCGAAAAACTTGTCGACGAAAAATGTTTGTAATATTCTAATATAACAATCGGAGAACTTGACAAAAAGGAGTATAAGTTGATAGAAAAAAAAAGCAAAATATTAACCGCACCACTAATAGCGCCATCTAGCGAAATATATATACATGTGTGATACAATTTTGCGTTTTGTCCACTGTACGCAAAGCGGCATCACGCCGACTACTAAATTTCTGTTGTTGAGTACTAATAGAACCACTTGATTAGTTAATTTTATGTGGGAATTCGGCATTCTAACGCACGGTTTCTGAAACGCTGATCATCGTAGATGTCAACTAACTAATTCTAATCATTAAGAAGATCATTCTGATCAATTCAGAGAGTTTAACCGTCCTTTTGGCAACTCAAGTAACATTTGAAAAGCCATTTGACAGCTGATTAGTTGACATCTACGATGACCAGTGTTTCAGAAACCGGGCGTAAGAATGATAACCGCCGCCCATTGACATTTGCAACACCCGTACGATTATAGATGCGTTGCCGACTTGTTACTATAATATAACTATGATATACTATGATATACTATGATATACTATGATATACTATGATATACTATGATATACTATGATATACTATGATATACTATGATATACTATGATATACTATGATATAACCACCAAAAATGAAAAACATAATTGCAAACGCATTGTCATTAGGACAATGCGTTCGCAATTATGTTTTCACTGAACGCTAATACCCGCATAAGTGTACGAGCTATGTTCTAACTAGGTATATTATTTAAATTAAATTAAAAAACCGGGTCGTGAACGCAAGACCTAGATTCCTTTCGTAATTAACCTATCGGCCTTCAAACTACACGTGAGTATCTTCGCACTCAATATTATAAATGCAAACTATGTGTACCAGTGTGTAATGAGGTTTTATTTTATTCACAGACCTCATAACTGCACTCTGATTGCATGAAGATAGGTCTTTTACAGCTATCCTTGTGCTAAGATTGACGACACAATTGGCGCAGCGGGTAGTGAGCCTGCCTCTTGCCCGAGAGGGTGTGGGTTCGATCCCCACTGGTGTAAAAATATTATGTAATGAACATAGTGTCTTTCCAGTGTCTGTGTAATTACAATATGCAATTTATTTACAACATCAAAGTATGTTTAATTATGTTTATCAGTTATCTAGTACCCATAGTAAAAGCGTTGCTTAGTTTGAGAAAACCTTGTGTAATAAAGTGTCCTAAAATATTTATTTATTCATAAGACGGCCCGGTGAATTCGTATGACCATTTGAATAGGTCCCTGGATCGACGCGATTCTGGCCACGGGCCACGGAAACTGCGCTAAAAAACTAAATCCAGAATATTTTCATTTGGAAACTCGCAGTCACCTTAGCGAGGAAAAAGTTGGATAAGAAACGTTTGCCGTTTATTCACCGAGTTGGGGACCGAATGCGTATCTCCTGATGTAGTGGATTGTTGACATGTACAATCAGTGTACCCGTGAGGCGAGTTCGAAGCCCCGCCACCAGCCTTCATGAAAGTAGGCCCCGAATACCTCACCGACCGACCGTAACGAAATTACAAACAGTTCCACTTTCTTAAAATGTGCACGCCGCAGCCTGGATTCGAACGCGCGCCTCCCGAGTGATGCAGCCAGGTACTCAGTACTACTAACCACTGAGGTAAGCGGCCGATACAGCGGGCGAAGGTAGACTACGCACGTTTTAAGAAAGTAAATTGTTATTATTTGTCGTAAGGTTACCTCATCGATCGGGGTGAGGTAATCGGGGACTACTTTCATAAAGGCTGGCGACGGAGCATCGAGCTCACTTTCATCTTAAGTGAAATGACTAGCACCAAAAATAAATTTAATTAAGTACATTAACACTTCTGCTTACCGTGAAAGTACTTGTATAAATATCAAATGAGCAGGATTTCGCAGAGTGCTCGGTTATTGTCATACATGACTGCTTATTTGCTGCCTTAAACGATATCACTTAGTACCCGCTGTAAACCATGCAACAGACACCAGAAAAAAATCTCTAAAATAAACCAAGTTAGGAAAGCTCGCTATGAAGCGATAAGGCCGCCAAATTGTGATTACGTTTTTCTGTTGTTAACTTTGTGTATCCTTTCATGTGTGATAGACAAAAAAAGTATTCATTCATTCATTCAAGTTATAGATAATCCAAGTACAACTCAACGTGTGTTATCTAAGGTTAGTCCTAGATTTAACGGTGGTAGAGTTCCACGCAATCCAAGCCTCAACGGATCTAAGTTTAGATTTATGTAGCCACGCAGCAGCCTGGGCAGACTCGTCCGGGTAAGTACCACGACCTCACAGAAGACTGGCGTAAAGTGGAAGTATGACAAATACCTACTTTCGCGTTTCCTCTGGTGAGTGATGTAGCCGGAGCCCAACTTCCAAAAAGATTGCCAACGCATCTGCAAGCCCTCGGGTGTAGCAGATGTCTATGGGCGGCGGTATTCACTTAACATCAGGTGAACCGTCTGCTCGTTTGGCAACTTTTCACATAAAAAAAAAAAGATTGAGTGAAATGAATCATCGCTTAATTGTAAATTTAGCAACAGGAATACACTAGCCGCTGCGATTGATGTAAGCATAAGAAACTTTTCAGCAATCTAATCGTGTACCGCATTTTCAATTACATCGCACCCGAAGAGATAACCGATATCGCCATTACCGAGCACATTAGACTGAGCCGCGTCAACGCAAAAAACTTTATAAACCATCAACGATAGAAGAAGAGCGATCCGTTAGATCTTTAACCAGAAAACATCGTGGCTAGATAACGACGGACAAGAAAACTGCTTATTAAACCGCAGAACGGCATTACTTCTGAAATCTCTACATAAATGACCATTTTTTTACTAACGAAAAACAGAACCGACTTTAAATATCTCGCTCTGTATTCATTTTATAATTGATTCAGGAATTCCCGAAGTATTTCCGGAGCCCAAGATCCAATACCAATGAAATTAATATGGGACCACATGAGAAGCAGCTTTCAAATAAAAAAAGAATCATGAAAATCGGTTCGCACACTCAAAATCTCTTATGTAACAAACATAAAAAAAATACAGTTGAAGAGAACTTCCTTTTAAAGTCGGTTGAAAATAAAGCCAACTAATAAATAAATAAATACTTAAGGACACATTTTTACACAACATTCTCTAGTCCCAAACTAAGCAAAGCTTGTACTATGGGTACTAGAAAACT